TGAACTGTACAAATATACACTGCTCAAATTCAGAATGCTCGTTTTTTTCCTTCTTTTTCTGACCAGATCACAAACCCATGCGGATAACACTCAGCGTTCGGACTCCATGGCAGCTGTAGATTTTGTCAAAACAACCTCTCACTTTAGCTGTGATGAGATATTTTGATGCCTGCAATGCCGCCGGGCCAAGAATCACGATATGCAACCCAAGATGCATTGCAACTAGTGATCCTGCGATCTGTCGTGACATCATCAGAGACTGGTTTTACCTCAGGCTGTAGAGCAATACAGGTACATTTCTACATGTACCGGGTATACATTATCAAATACTCATTGTACTCTTACAATGTACATTTACTTTTATAAATTTGCATGGACTTTTGCTGTTTACTCTCTGAATTTTACTATGTAGATAAATGTACATGTACATACACATGTACATGTACATCACACTAGGTTACAAAAATTTGATGTTAATGTTATGGTCATGACAATTTTCGGCAAACTATTTTATTTTGTGAATGGGAGGACCAGGTTTGTGGTAACACCATGTGAATAATATCTCTTTGTGAGTTGTGCGGTATGGTGCAGAGAAGAATTTGGTTTAACCCGATCTTTTCGAACAGTATCTGCTCATCATCAGGAGAGTTTAATTTTGTTGTTACCAATTCTGTTGATTTGTTTTCAGCGTTTTTTTATCCTTTGGCCAAGGCACTTTACAAATTCCTGTTTTTTTTTAAAGCATGTATACTTACACATATTGCCATGGAGAACACTTTACATGTTAATGATTAACATGCTTTGTTGGCCGTTTTGCTACATGTACATGTATGTGGTTACTATGTACGCATGGCATGTGTGTACCACTATCACATGTACATGTATCATAAAAATACATAATCCTTAAAGCCTAGTCCTTGGAAATGACATGGGACTGGGAGATGTGTCAATTCAGTGAATGCTGCTGCCATACAGGGGGATGACAGCCATATATCCTTTGTGGCTTGTGTACACTCAGTGTATACATGTACATGTGAGTCATTTCCTATGGTCAACATCCAGAAAGCAAGTGTGATGTACACAGATATGAGTGTACATGGATACGTTGCACTCCAGAAATTCACATAGATTTACATCTTTTTAAAGTTGGATCTGAATGCACAAATTGCACAGTCAGGACTTCTCCCCCCCAAAAAATAAATTAATAAATGAATGTCAATTTCTTGTGTCAGGTGGTTTTTTTTTGGGGGGGGGGGGGGTGGGGGCGTGGGGTTGAATGTTAATGTTGTGATGGTTAAATACAGTCAATTAATGCTTAATTTTTTTTTTTTAGTCAGCTGATGTTATCTGTTTATTACTGGTATATGGGGGGGGGGGGGTTGACTTTGAAGTTTGTGATGGCAATAGTTTTACAAATATACCGGTACTCTGCTATATAAATTCATGTTAGTATAAAGCGTCACAGTACACTTAATGTGCACAGTTCAATGCTTTTTCTCACGCTGTGTGAAACACGCTCCGGGCTTGAGCTGCTTATGTTGGTTGCTGGGTGGCTAGGTGGGTTGGAGACTTTACTCAGCCATATACAGTACCAGTATTGTATTCATGCAACTTGAATATTACCGATTTGCATTCGAAGACCGGTTTTGAAAACACTGATGCGCGTGCATCTTATTTGCATATTAAGATCACGCCCAATTCGTTTTTGTTTTCTATACTCTCGAGGTACCGAGAGGTGCAGGGATGATGTCGTAAGCCGTCTTCATGTTACTCGGCAGCCATGGGTTGTACCGGTACCACTTGATACCAGTACTTGTTTTCAATCAGCTGATGTTGTCATTGATAAGAAAAAAAGTGTTAATTTAAAAAAAAAAATAATAAAAAAAAAACCTGGGGGGGGGGAGGGAGGAATTTTAATAGTAATGTACATGTACATGTACATGTACATGTATGCACTTAGGTACATTGGACTCTAAAATTCACATTAAAATGTACGGGTAGTTTGAATAGTAGTCATCAGCTATAGTTTTCTGTTAAACTTAGAATTTAACAAAAAATATTTTAAAAAAAGTTGTTAGTTTTTTTTGGGTAGGAATTTATAATTTTTGGATGGTCAGAAACTTCCTTTTATTTGAAGTGCTTCTATTGATGCAACACAGGAAGGATATTGCATGACTGTGCAAGGAAGTGATCAAGGACTATGTACACATACAATGTAAGTATCCATGAACTGTACTGGTTCAATGCACTGAAACAAAAGGCTATTTTAGTGCTGAGCAATTTCGAATAATTTAGTATTCTAGTATTACTCAAACTTGGATCTGACCAAACATTTGAATATCGAACAATGAAATATTAACAAAAACATACCGGTACATGTTGTAGGCCTATAATTACGTGCATGTATTTATTGATAATTATTTTTTAAGTAGAGACTAGCTGATACTTGACATATTTTAAAGATGAGGCCTATAGCTACAGCCCCCTGCTTGTATACTTTCCTAAACCTCCCAAAACAAAGCACCCAGCAGCCATCATAACCCAGCAATGGACACCTGTCCTGTCCAACAGACATCCTCACTAACAAGCCCAGACTCTTAAATTGGAATTGTCAAGACCATGGCTGTGTCTGGGCAAGTTGGGTGCCAGGGTTCTGGGTGGGCAGTCATGGTGGGGATAGAAATGCAATATCCTGTACATGCACATGGGGGGGGGGTACCACCTGTCTAACAGAAGTGCAACTCTGAAAGCAAAACTTAAAAGCTACGTGTAAAGAAGTGAATAAAATAATGGTATTATTACATTGTAAGTTATATTTGATTTGTGAAATTTGTAAATTTATTTTTATATTGGTTTCCAATTCAATGTTAAGAACAACATTGTAATGGCTGACTTGACTGATAAATTATTTAAATTTATGTATGGAATCTGTGACCTGCTCTCATGGAATAAGAGAATAGCCCCCTTCCCCGAAAAAAAAGTAAGAATCACCAAAATATACATAAAGAAATCAAAAAAATTAAACTGTCAAATTATGTACATATGTGACTTATGATACGTAATTTCTATCTTTGAGGCTTTTTTTTAAATGTATATGTAATTTGGTTTTGCCTTTTATCAACATAATTTTACTTATTCATTCTCTCTGTATAATGTACATGTACTGGTATGTTTTCTAAGTACATGTGAAGTAAAGCTAGACAATGTAACATACACTGTACAAGTACATTTTTGAACATGCACTGGTACCATAATTTACAATGTACATTGAGATTGGACGGCCTCAAAGATGAGATCTATTGCCAGATCATCAAGCAGTTGACCAACAATACTCTCAAGTTAGTCGGATTCACAATGTACATGCACAATACACACATGAACTGTCCATGAACGTGTATGTAAACAGAATGTGAATGGCCTGTCCTTATTTTGGATAAAACTTCAAGGTTTGCCTATTCATGCGTGAAGGATCACCCAAGTCCTCAGCCTAATAAGTAATTAACTGACAAAAAGCTTGTCACTCATCCTTGAACCTAAGCTGCAGACAAACACAAGGATTTATAAACAGCCGCCTTTTAGCAAAAGGTTTCCTTCCAAATCCAGGTACATTCATGAAAAGAGTACAATGACTCACGTTTTGTTGATTGGAATGAATACTGGGGACATACTGTGGCTAGTCCACTGACCCATAACCACTGAATATATATCACCTTGGGGCAAGATTAGCTGATCAATAGTAAACAGATGACAGTTAGCTCATGAAATACAAATAGGAAAATGTTTTGTGTACAATTGCAATGTGAGCGTTGCTGCATTGTCCATACATGGACACAAACATACATTTATGTATACACTGTAGGCCTACAATCCTCAGAGTAGGGGTTTGCTTTATTGCAGGTAATTTATTTGACTTGCCTGGCTTAAAAAAGTACATTTCCTTCAGAGGCAGAATATGTGAGCATGTAGGCCAACAATAAGTGATTTTATTTCCCCAATTTATTTTCTAATCTCGTCGTTGCTTGGTATCATCAGAATTTCATAAGTTTTACATACTGTCGATATAATGTGTACCATAAAACTGGGTTGCTAGGATTTCAGCTTGTTATTTATCTCTTCAGATGAGTCAAGAATAATTTCAGTATTACGTGGCATTCTTAGCAGATTACAAATGCACATAGCGTTCATAGATACTGCACATACATGTACTTGTGTGTTCTTTTTAAAGTTAAAGATGGTGTTGGCATGATTTTTGATCAATCACTTTCAAAATTGTACGGCCAATTTTCTATTATTTTAATAACAATAATTAATCTAAACAAAAAAAGTAATCTTTGCGTATCGCATAAATTTTGTTTATTTTTTATTGTCCTTCAATTTCTTCTTAACAAGAGACAGAGTGAAAGGTTCAATGCAAAAACCAGCCATGCATGCAACAAAGAGAATGACCAGTAATTAGTCAAAGTGGGTAAACATTGAAAGTACCAATTAAACTAATTCAGACTGCAGTCAGTGCACACACAAGAAATTGATTTTTGTTCATTACTGAATAATTAGCACACATGCATGGCTCAATGTACGTGAATGTACACAAATAAAATGTACACTGTGCGTGCACATTAATGTCACGGATTCATTTTTTCTGTGATAACTCTACAGCTTTTAATAAGAATGTACAGCACATGTACATATATTTAAACTGCAACGATTATGGTTTATCCATAACTCCCTACCTACATGTACATGTAGTTTTACTTGAGGAGAAGACCACATCCGTCGAATTCCATCACTGACTCTGCTTCACATGCTTCAGGACCAAATCCGTTGAAATCCACCACTGGTGCTGGTGGATTTTGATGGACTTGGCACACATGGCTTATCTGCCAAAGTCCCCCAAACTGGGGGGATGGATTTTGATGGAGTTGGTAGGGTTATGGTTATATGTAAGTATTGTTCATGATGACAGCTTTCTATTATTTTGAGGTTTGACGACATTTACTCACCCAGACAAAACCCGCACTTCAGAATCAGCCTGCCCCATAGTATCCTGGAAACCTTGGCCATGGCTAGGCACACAGAGTGTAGAGATCTGCCTCATCTACTGACGACTGCTCTGCATTGTTGGCAAGTGCATCAACAACACAACACTGACACTGGCGTCTGTCCTCTGCAAACCGGTCTGATCTGCTCTCTCCTTTCAAGACTTGCTTCGTAACGGGTAATTCCAACGGAGGAGGAAGTTGAAACAACGATGCTGTGCTGACTTTCGGTTCCAATATTTCTCCACTTGGTAACTCACGTGCCTGGGTTAATAAAAACAGGAGTATCAGGAAGTATGAAGAATTGGTCTGTATGTGGTCTGTCGAAAAAGGAAAGTAATATGGAGGAAATTCATAAAGGAAGTTACCGAAGGAAGAAATAATCGCAGATTCTAATCGCCCTTTGTTGTCCGGTTTATGTGCTGTACAAAAATGTGCACAATGTGGTTAAACATGTACATGTTATACAGGTACATGTATGTTAAAGTAGACATTGGACATATCATTTGACTTGATATGCACTACCCATCATACACAAGTGGGAAAAAAAACAAAAAAACAAGTGAGTGCTTATGTGATTTATATTAGGTACATACAGTGTACTGCATTTTGCAAATGAGGAAACAGTGACAAATTTGGCACATTTTCTTTGACACAAATCAAGGTGTAACTCCTCAGAAGATGAAGTCCACTTTCATGAGGACAACAATACACGTACATATGTATCTTGAAAAGTATTCATAATCATACATGTAATCATTTGTTACTTCTCCATAAATTTAAAAAAAAGCTTCTAAATGATATGGATTGATTTCATGTTTGGATAAATGTGAATGTGTTTTACACACTGATAGACTGTTTCATCTTTGTGGTCACAGGGTAATCTCAGGGGGCATTTCCTTGAAAGTATGTCCCATCATGCCACTGTATCCTGAGCATGATGGGATGTGTACATGAATGTACATAGCATTTTCAATGAAGTGTTGCCTGAAGATTACCACGTGACACAAAGATGACGGTATCAGTAAAACGGTCTGTGTACTGTACTTGCATATATATGAAGACTTCCAAAACGCGATAGCCATTTGAAAAGAAACTTGAAATAAAAACAGTATAGCATCTGTTTCTTAACTTTTACTTCATTGTATTCTTAAATCGTGTTTAATTATATGTAACAGCCATGGAAATTGAGTTTGAGCAGCCTTGAGAGAGCAGGATCCCAAAAGGCAACAAAATGGTGTACATTTATATTTGCATTTTGGAAGAAAAACTCTTTAGGCCTATAGTTTGTGTCACTTGTGCATATACGGGCACATATTTCGTGCCATCTTCTATTGAAAGGTCAGTGGGTAACATCTATTGCTAGAGGAAGGAAACACTGGTGATGTGACCTTTTTCTTACGTGTTGTTATTTTTAGACATGTTAGATGGTCACTTTACTGAAAGTCCCCTGTGTATTTCAACCATAGACTAAATGTGTGTACAATGTACATGAAGGCTCAAAATACCCAATTGTCAACTCAATGATTCAATGTTGGAGCTTTTCGTGTAGTCTATTTATTGCCTGTCCAAAGTGTTGATTACTTTTCACAATATTCAGAAACTCCAGCTGAAGTCCAGTTTGACCAAATTAATTATTTGTCTCATGAATTACACTGGTAATGTCAGTCTTCAATGCATCATCTGTTTACCAACTTACCATCTTAACAAAAATTGAAAAAACCAGACAAGGAAGTTCTTTTACATTACATTGTTTTGAGTGAAATGCAATAAGTCTCCTTTTGAGGTTTAATTGTCACTTCGTCAATCATGAAAGCGCCCTCAAATAACGAAAACTAAGTTCACATGATGTCTATGTACTGCCCATACACTGTTTACAAGTGTATGAGTAGCTGTTGCATTTCATGATGTTAACATACCTAAAAAACTTTTTTCTTTCTCAATTTGGCTGGAGCATTATTTGGAGACCACGGGCAAATGCCTATGTCTATTGAATGAATGTTTTCCTCCTGAGTTCTTTATTCAATAGAATCAAAACTGAAAATGAAACCTATCAAATGAAGTCGTTTATAGTTTCCATTCACTTTCAATATTAGTAACATACATTGTACTCACCATTATTGGAAGTTTATTATACAGGACAGTCAACAAAAAGAAGTCATAACAAAAACAGAAAGTTGCTGATATACTGAATGCTTTAGGTTACAGTTTCACCATTAGACTGGGACCGTGAGTACAGAAAAAACATGCAAAACACAATCAGGCCAATTTTATTTACTCTTTAGCTGACAAATTTCTCCACAATTTCCAAGAGGCAAAGACAAAGTCCTGAGCATTTCACCAGCCAAGGTCCAGGTCTCCATTCAATTTTTAGACTTCACTTCCCATTAAAAAAATTAAAATTGCTTCAGAGCCATGAATTAGAAAGAAAAAAATGCCTTTGTCAGCTGTTTAGACAAGTGCAAGACGAAGAGGGTTGTATATTAAAGTAACTACTGCCCAAACGTAAATTATGTAAATTAATTAAAGTATTTTTAACGTGTGTTTTTACAGCAGACAGGAATATTTTCAATTTTATTTTTGAAAATGGATTACATAAGTACTATACATACATGTAGCAACACTTAGATCTACAGCAAAAATATTCTAATCCCCGGTTACTGTGATCAAGTGACCGACTAAATATTTGCATACAAAAATGAGTTGCACAGAAAATTCAGCAGAATATTTTTTTTTCTGCAGAATTATGTAGATTGGTGTTTCTGAAGGAAAAAGAAAAAGATTATAGAAATATGTCACATTTGGTTTGAAAAAGCTTCATTTTTTTGAAAGATCCCTGAAACAAAACCTTGCACAATGGATGATGGAACTGCAACAATGTTTACAGGCTGATTTGGCAGATTTTTGAAGTGGATTTATTTTAACAAGGTATAACAGTCATCCAGCCATGGAAGACGGGTAGTCGGGTACCCACTGGTGGGACTCCTACCATTTTGCGCATGCGGAACTTGGGGTTCTAGAGTATCATGCGTTTCTTTGATTTTCTGATCATTTTGAACACGTTCGCTGTACCGTATTTTTCATCAAATTTCTTGGCAATGACACTGAAAGATCCAACACTCGCGTAAATTCACAGGAAGCCTAACAAATAAGTGATAAAACTAGAGGGCAAAATTATGGCGATCGTGTAGTGTAGGGCCCCTGTTTTGTTTTGATCAAATGAGAGCCAAAAATGTTTTTTATTGCTCAAAAATCACCTTTACAATCAAAAGCAAACTTTCTCAATTCTAATGACACCCGTTTTGCAGTTTCTTGGGGTAGAAATCATGATTTTCCTGTGCTGTTTGTGCCTTGCGATTCAGCGCCCCGTGCGTGCTCACGGTACATCGCGTGATGATCGCCATTTTTATTTTCGGGTTGCGTGTTGTCCCCGCGCTATCATCGTCATTTTACCCCCAAATTTCCCTCAAAAAATCAAAACCCTGACCTCTATCTATGACATACCCATTTATTGAGGAAGTCGCCGACTAGTTTGGTCAGTCTAATAATTTTGAAGTGAATTTTGTCCCTTATAAGTTATAACCGGGCCCTACACTACACGATCGGCAAATTATGGTCATGATGCCTGGTTATAATGTTGCGGATCAAAAAATAAAATGAATTCGAGTGTATTTACACGAGGACGGCCCTTGGCATTGTCTACAACACCACGTTCACAGGTCTAACTCTACTCTAAGTTAAACGTGTAACATTTACTCCAGCTGGCAGCTGTCGATGTTGTCCAGTGTCTAGTGCGGTGTAATTTAAACATGGTGAAATTCAGTGTGACAAAAAAAATTCCTGTCTGTGAATTGTGAACCGACCAAAACACGGCCCTCACGATAACAACAATCAACCTACATTTCAACAACGTTTTAAAACTGTACTTACTGTCAACCTGAATGTCTAGATATCGATAATTTCCGTTCATGGGGTCTTGGAAATGTGGCCAATTGAAGACAATATTTGACATGGGACGGCAAGCCCTTTTCTGCTTTTCTGTGCGTGATTAAAGGGCGTGTTTGGCGCCCTCATTTGATGTATCCCATCCCAAAGTATACTTAAGTATCTGTAGGCTCCGCGGTACGCGGTCGAGAGGGCGTCTTCGAGAGCAACTGGGCACCTATCTGGCCGGACCGACCGGACGTCATATAAAAAAAATAACAGCGTTGCTGTTGAAACCCCTCAGCCAGAGTCAAGTTATCATCCTAAAACCATTAACCTTTAACTCAACGTGGTGACCTTGACCTTTGGCCTTTGACCCCAGAACCAGTCCCAACATGCCTGTACCAATGGGAAACCCCCTACCGAAGTTAGACACCAACATTTCATTTCTAACTCAAGTTATCATTCGGAACCATTTACATTGAACTCACCACGGTGACCTTGACCTTTGACCTTTTGACCCCAAAACCAATCCCAACTTGCCTGTACCCAAGGGCAAACCCCTACCTCAGTCAGACACCAAAATCTCATTTCTAACTCAAGTTATCATCCGGAAACCATTTACCTTTAACTCACCATGCTGACCTTGACCTTTGACCTTTTGACCTCAAAACCAATCCCAACTTGCCTTCTCCCAAGGGGAACCCTCTTCCAAAGTTAGACACCAAAATCGCATTTCTAACTCAAGTTATCATCCGGAAACCATTTACATTTAACTCACAATGGTGACCTTGACCTTTGACCTTTTGACCCAAAAACCAATCCCAACTTGCCTACTCCCAAGGGCAACCCTCTACCAAAGTTAGACACCAAAATCTCATTTCTAACTCAAGTTATCATCCGGAAACCATTTACATTTAACTCACCACGGTGACCTTGACCTTTGACCTTTTGACCCCAAAACCAATCCCAACTTGCCTACTCCCAAGGGCAACCCCCTACCAAAGTTAGACACCAAAATCTCATTTCTAACTCAAGTTATCATCCGGAAACCATTTACATTTAACTCACCACGGTGACCTTGACCTTTGACCTTTTGACCTCAAAACCAATCCCAACTTGCCTACTCCCAAGGGCAACCCCCTACCAAAGTTAGACACCAAAATCTCATTTCTAACTCAAGTTATCATCCGGAAACCATTTACATTTAACTCACCACGGTGACCTTGACCTTTGACCTTTTGACCTCAAAACCAATCCCAACTTGCCTACTCCCAAGGGCAACCCCCTACCAAAGTTAGACACCAAAATCTCATTTCTAACTCAAGTTATCATCCGGAAACCATTTACATTTAACTCACCACGGTGACCTTGACCTTTGACCTTTTGACCCCAAAACCAATCCCAACTTGCCTACTCCCAAGGGCAACCCCCTACCAAAGTTAGACACCAAAATCTCATTTCTAACTCAAGTTATCATCCGGAAACCATTTACATTTAACTCACCACGGTGACCTTGACCTTTGACCTTTTGACCCCAAAACCAATCCCAACTTGCCTACTCCCAAGGGCAACCCCCTACCAAAGTTAGACACCAAAATCTCATTTCTAACTCAAGTTATCATCCGGAAACCATTTACATTTAACTCACCACGGTGACCTTGACCTTTGACCTTTTGACCCCAAAACCAATCCCAACTTGCCTTCTCCCAAGGGCAACCCCCTACCAAAGTTAGACACCAAAATCTCATTTCTAACTCAAGTTATCATCCGGAAACCATTTACATTTAACTCACCACGGTGACCTTGACCTTTGACCTTTTGACCTCAAAACCAATCCCAACTTGCCTACTCCCAAGGGCAACCCCCTACCGAAGTTACAACCCCAAACAACATTTCTAACTCAAGTTATCATCCGGAAACTAAGCTGCCCGGACGGACGGACGGACGGACGGACATACATCCGGACGGACGGACGCCCTAGGCGATGACAATACCCCTCGAGCCTCTCGGCTGAGGGGTAAAAATGCCCATCCACCCCAACGGAAATAAATAGAGAAACCAGCCCGAATGCGTAAAATAACCGTAGGCAAAAACATCAGGCTATCTTGCTTTTCTTATGCGAATTTTGGCAGTTGAATTTACGATTAAATTTGTAACTTCCAGATTCTCTCCGGTACATACAGCCATTTTCGACAAACGAACTTAAATCAGGTTTCTGGCTGTTCATTTTTATTGTACTCCATGATTGTACCGAGCCATAGACGAAGCCAGCAGGGGGGGGGGGGGGGGGGGTATGTACCCCTGACCCCCCCCCAATATTTTGTAAAGACTACCCTTTTCCATTCAAATGTAGCCTTGACCAAGGCGTTGGGCTTATCGATTCGCCGATAAAAAAAATCACCGATAAGAAAATCCCTAATCAACTTCGCAAGGCATAATTGCGTGCACATATCGATGCCCGTACGCTGCTAGTGAGAAAGTAACTTGTAACATACAGCAAGGCTATGCTTGTACGTACGTACGTACATGTACGTACACACACGTACTCGTACAACAGCCATGCACACACAGTACATGCATGAGCTAGTCCGCGTAACCCAACCCCTTTTTTACCATTGCTTACCCCCCCCCCCCCGATATTTGTAAAGAGTGCCCTTCTTTTTTTTGAACAATTGCCCTTTTTGTCTTTTGAATTTTTGGCAGTTGAATTTACGATTAAATTTTTAACATGACAGTAAACTTCCAGATTCTCTCCGGTACATACAGCCATTTTCGACAAACGAACTTAAATCAGGTTTTTGGCTGTTTATTTTTAATGTACCGAGCCATAGACGAAGCCAGCAAGGGGGGGGGGGGGGGACGGAGGTATGTACCCCCTGACACCCCCCCCCCCCCAATATTTTGTAAAGACTACCTTTTTTCCATTCAAATGCCCCTTTTTAACCATCGCTTACCCCCCCCCTCCACCGATATTTTTAAACAGTGCCCTTCTTTCTTTTTTTTAAACAATTGCCCTTTTTGTCTTAACAAGTCCCGTTTAAAAAAAAACACCACCATCGGCCGTTACAGGTGCCTTGCATTGATCGCGCACTATCATATTGGCCGTTAGTGTTCATAGTCGGTTTTGAACAGCGCCCCCATCGACATATGGTAACCCCCTCCCCCCACACACACACCCAGTAGTGTTTTACTATACTCTCGAGGACAATGCTTTGTCTTTTCCTTTGTCCCTGTCATATAACACTCTCCCATAGACTAAGCACACAAACGCACGACCGAGGACCGATTTCAACAAAAGATGTCTGTCTGTCTGTCCTCGGGGTGTATATAGTTCACGTACACACCCACCCACACACGCATACTCATACTCAATTTTACAGAGGCCAAGCGTCCGGAGAAAAAAGGTGTCTACATTTCAGCACGGATGTACAAGTACCCTTTTCAAGAAATTTACCCCCCCCCCCCATAAAAATGACCTTGCTACGCCACTGCAATCTGTTCCACAATATCAACTATTTAAAGTGTTACGTTTACGTAGATATCCAGCCCTAAAAGTTGGCGCTCTGATGAATTAAGTTTAAATAAAAAAAATATATACTTCGAGCAATAGCCTTATATTGGTTGCAGACCAGCAAATGCAAACTGCCATAGACCTCAGTGATAAATACCCCACTTCTAAAGATCAGGAAAAATACAACAGGTCTCATATAGGTGTTTTAGACACCCATCACATTAAAACTTATATCATCATCTCCCATTTTCTGTTCAATTGTTTTTGGTAATCCGATGACTTTTGGAGAAAATTCCATCCAAAGCTATGTCACCCCTAAAAGTATAAAGCCCATCGCCATCTTGAAAGAAAAATGATGTGTACGCTCGCGCTCCATTAATTTATAGGATCTAAGTTCATAGTCTAAATTTCACAGAAATACTACAGTGGCAGTCCCGATCACGACTTCCGCCTTTTTAAAAAAAACAAAACCCAAGTTTTTGGGCGCCCACAATTAAAATGCTCTAATAACAGCAAAAAATGAGGGCATACATATCGTGATTTGGCCCGCGTAGGGGCCTTCGGCGCGGCCTGCACCCCTAACTTGCTACAGGTTCTTACATGATTGTATACATGTTATTGTTATATACATGTATTGTTTGTTGGTTAGTCCAAGGCTTGGATATTGGAATATTTCTTTTAGTTCAATGTCTGAAAAGTGCTTTGACATACGGTGTATATCAAAGCCAGACCGTCATCTAAAGTTGATCATCGGGTATTTTAGGCCAAAACATTTGAAATCAATGACATTTCAGCATAGTTCAATGTGTAAAAGGAACTTGGCCCTCAGAAACTTTTCTTTTTCCAAACAGGCTACCAGATAAGTCCTGTGGAGACATGGTGCGTTGTTATGACAAACATGCGGGAAAATTCTTCGAGCATTTTGTTGACTGTTTTCTCGGATGTGCACTTTGCCTGGTAATCAATTACCGAAAGAAGGATGCAAAGATCAAGGCCCCTTGAAATTCATCACCCATTGTATTCAAAAATTCACCGTATACCATAGCCAGTCAATTCCTAGATCAGCTATAGGAGGTTTTGGACTTTGCCCAAGAAGTGCAAATTAGTGGATGGGTTTTAGATTCAAAGTGCATGAATTATAGGCAATCTTGTACGTGTTCGCTGAGGCAGTGGGAATAGGTCTGTAGTACATCAAGGCAGCAGTCCCCTTTTTGTTTTTGTCAAGATGAAAACCGAAGGATTATGCTTTCTGCTGGTATGTTCCGCTTTGGCACTGGGGGACATCTGCAAACGTAAGTTGAGAACGTTGATTTTAAGCAGCATTTAGTATCATTCTCCGTTCATTTTGTTCATTCTGTAACACTTATTTCAATGACGTGATTCTTTACAATGTGTATAAATAATTATGTATAAATTACATAAGAAGTACATGCAATATTATATTTGATACGTACACAGTGATTAATAATAAAGTAGAATATTAAATTACATTTAGGTGTAAGGTAAAGCGAAATGCTTTTGTACCCCAACCTATTGACAGACAAACATACATCTAAGGTACCGTAACATGGACATAGGACAAACAAAACACAACGTGAGATAGACAAGACAAGCGTACATTTTGATTTGTTAAGCATGTTCCGCTTAAAATAGATTTAAAGACACAAATGCGGTATTGATCGTTTGGAAGGCTTACAATTTTTGGGGGGGGGGGGGGGGGTGGAAAAAACCGACACAGGCTATTTGGCAATTTTTTTTTTGAGGACGTGCGGAACTTACAGAAATACTGACATACACGAAAGCATTTTGCTAATAGTCATACACAATAAAAATAAATCTTAAAGGTAATACCCTGTGCTCTTCAAACAAATGTTCAAATTTGTATCTGTTGTTTTAACGATTTGTATGTGTTGTTTTTACGATTTGTATGTGTTGTTTTAACGATTTGTATGTGTTGTTTTAACATTTGTATGTGTTGTTTTAACGATTTGTATGTGTTAATTTAACGGGGGGATCTGATTTGAGCGTCTGCAACCCTCTGAAAAGGAATTTCATTTATGAACACTTTCTGCGAGAGCCAAATTATTGTCTGGCAACCAATAAATCGATTTTTGTGAAGACATAATTCAATAACTCAACGTCGTTGGATTTGTTTCTTTCGATGTCTCAATCGAAAAGGAATACCTTATATTTTTGGTCAATAGTAATTGGAAAAAACGAATCTATTTTTCAAAGTGAATCTCGAAAAAAAGCATGGGGAACGCATCATGAGGAAAGCAAGTTTTCTGTCGCTAACGGAAGAGTTAGTACACTCATCTACAAATCATTTTCCATGCATGTTGAACGAATCTTCCATTACACTGGATTTTACTTAAAGGAAGGACTGGCTTTTTCAAGGATTTGTTTTATAAATGAAACCCATGTGTCAATTATTCTGTTCTAGACAGAACATTTTCGTGCAAGATCTGTGTTTAAAGGTCTGTATTTAACTTCAAAGTAGCTTTCAGCATTCGGCAATGTGTTATTCACGGCGATCACAAACATTATCTGCATCCTATTTTCCCCCAGATGTCAAAGTAGTCAACTCATGTGGTATAGCTTTTTTCACTCATGTGATATTTGTTTTCCGTCTTTGATTTTATTCCCCAAAGCAAGTACGAATAAAGCTGAACCTTACAACTAAATGCCATCACAATGAACATGTCAGCCCGAGTCCTAGGCCTAAGATTCTTGAAAATACGACTCAATTTCCCCCAGATTATTGTTAATGGATTGCCCAATAGAGACCTAGGTAAACTTTGATTAATGATGATGTAGTGACAGCAGCACACTTCGGCTAGAAGACACGCTGGCCTTATGTTGACATTAATAAGTTAATCGGTAAACCTGGATTTACATACAAAGTAATGAGCGGTGCTGAAGATGGGACTGATTCGGGCAAACCGGATCGAAGGGCAGTGCCTGCCAGGCAAATTGGAAAACACTTCATGGAGGTCTATTAAAGTAGTCTCGCCTGATAAAGCTGACAAATTTACAAAAGGTTTAAACATTTATAGATCCTAGTAATATTATTTTGATCATGAAATGCTAGTATTAACATCTTTAAGATTTCTAATGGAAATTTTAAAAACAAGTAACATTTTAATGAAGAATAGTATATAACAAATAAGAAAGGTTCTTATTATTTTGATTTTTTAAACTTTTATTCTATTTAATACCGGAGTCTTATATAGCGCACGTATCTACCAGCAATTAGGTACTCAAGGCGCTGGAATTATGTCTATTTGTTAAGACAGGTAAATGATTTATTACCCTTTACCGACATAAAGTCCATTGAAAAATATTTGATCTTTGGTTTATTTCCAATTCGTTAAGACATTCAAAGCCCAAAAGGATGCTCCGTGTTTTCTAAGGGACCATGGATTATTTAGTAAGATGCATGGAAATTCACATAGAATATTTGGGTTGTGAGATTTATTTCATGAACCTCGTAAGAAATATAGATGCTTTGCATTGCCGGTGAGGTGTGTGCTTTTGTTCCACGAGAATAGGCAATAGTGAGATTGTTTCTGCATTCAATAGGGGACGCTGAACAATAGGACAATAGGGTCCCCAATTCCCAAAGGTCCCCAATTTGGCGATGTGCACAAAACATATGGGAGGTCTTCCTAAAAATTAGATTACAAACAAAAGAGGGACATTGGGGGAGGTCTACGATTGCAGGCAAATACACACTTGTATGTGTGTGTTTATTGTTAATGAATTGAAAATCAAAGAAAGGCAAGCCTAGTAATGCTGGTCCCAGAGCACACAGAAATCTATTCAATTGATTCAGTATGGCTATTTACCGGAAGTCTTTTCATGCATCTGATGTATGCAATGGAAAGGATTTAGGCCATTATGAGGGTAATCCTACACAATAGCACTGCCCGGCTTAAGTTCAGCAGTCACCAACAAGGGACTAGCCAAAATATGTTAAAGGTATGGAACGCCAAAGAGGCATTTAATGTGATCATCGAATCGGTGATACACTTTTGCAATCGGTGATGCATATTCACGATCGGTGATGGACTTTCGCGATCGGTGATGAACTTTTACTGGTGATGCATATTCACGATCGGTGATGGACTTTCGCGATCGGTGATGGACTTTTACTGGTGATGCATATTCACGATGCTGAATGCAAACTACTACTGATGTTTTGTATTTGTATCTATATCCAGCTGTGGATCGTCTTCAAGCCGTGAGCCAGTCGTACAAGATCCGTGAGGGCCATGCTATGTTCGGTCTGCTTGGTGCCTGTCCTCCCATGGGAGAAGAACTGGATCAACCGCTGCAGTACCACATCACAGATGACAGTGACGCGCCGGGCGTTAGCTTGCTAGACTCCAGAACGGGGGAGTTTAGTTTTGAGTGAGATTCACATATTTATACTTCAAAAGTTGCATAGTGTCATCCTCTTTTGTATTTTTTTCTTACATTTTGCTAAATACAACTCTTAAAAAATCCATACAGAAAAGATTGTTTACCTTTAATGATATGAACATGCCTCCTCAACAGGAAATAAATAAAACACTTAAACAATAACCACAAAACACTGCCTGGAGCCTTTGTAGACTTTTTATATTGCTTTGATTTACTTCATATTTTTTAATATGATTTATAACTTTTTAATCCAATACATTTGTATGTGGCATTCTCATAATTTGCTTCAAGACCATTATCATGTGCGAAATAGAATTTTTTTGGCATTTATAACTTGTCAGAAACACTTGTAAGAATTTTTTCTTGACCCAACAGGCCTGTCCCTCACTTTGTGGGTGTTGTCAGCTTCACCTATACTGTCGCAGACAGTCGGGGGAGGACCAGCTCTCCAGCCAAAGTGACCATACAAATCCGAGGTGACCCCGCTGAACCGCTGTTGGAGCTGCACAACATCAACGCCGAGGCTGGAACCTACGCACCCATGGGGATGGGCGTGTCTGTAGAAGAGGGGCAGGATGGGGAGGGACTGACGGTGACGTTGTGTAACTGCGATGAGGAGTTCGAGTGCAGCAGGGATACAGGTGTGGTTCCTTGGTTCCTAATCCCTGGTGGATTAATTGGGCACCAAGGAAACCAAGACAACCCCCCCCCCCCCCGCAAAAAAAAAAAAATCACCAGATTTTGTTTTTGGGAACAACTAAAACAGAAGGAGCTGTAATAAACTCATCCCCATTCCCGCAATGGAATTGTGAAATGTTTATGGAAAGAAAAGAAAAATGAAACACTGTACATGACATAAAACTTCCTTTACTTTCCCTTTCATGCAAAGTACCCAAAGAATACAGCTAACTACATTAACAATGAGCCTATGTAGCAGTATTTGTGGGTTCTTCATTTTTCCTAGCTCGTTGTTATTGTGTCCTTACTCTACCTCATGGCTGGGAGCTGGCTGATGGGTTGAGGAGACGCCTGCCCAACGAGGAGTTGAAAAATCTACCAGGCAGTCAGCTACAGAACCTGACACTCAAGTAAGATGAAGTTGGGCCTGCATATCTGAAGTCCTCACGAATCAGCTACAAAATCAGTCACAAGTTACTCGCAAGTCAATAACAAGTCAGTCGTAAGTCAGTCACAAGTCAGTCGTAAGTCAGTCACAAGTCAATCACATCATGAGTTGCATGTCAATCATATCAGTAGCAGACTAGCAATTCAATCACCAGTCAGTCATGGGTCAGTCACAAGTAAGTCACAAGTAAGTTACAAGTAAGTCACAAAGTCACAAGTCTGTCACAAGTCAGTAACAAGTCAGTCACAGGTCAATAACAAGTAAATCACAAGCCAGTCAAAAGTCAAGCACAAGTAAATCACAAGTCCATCAATTCTACAGACAATGTCTTGAAATAAGTGTAACAAAATGCATTTTTTTCATTCCTTGTTACTTGCAACCTGATTTATGATTCACTTATTTCATGGAACTATGCTTCTTGCTGAAGTAAAAATAAACATTTTGAAGAGAACCAATAATTCTGATACTACAGGACTCAAGTGAATTCAGCAGGCCAGCATTGCATCGACGTGCATGCCATCAACTGGAATGTAGCTACTGAAGAACCTCTCCGCGTCAAACGCAAACTCCTCATCAACATCACCCCAACCTCTGCCATGCCCAACGTCGGCCACAGTGAGGAGATATCCAACACTGGTTCCCTGCAGCTAGAGACCAGTGAGGGTCAGGTGATCCAGTTCAAGGGCCTGCATGTTGGGGACAGCGATAACGTGCAGGGGACGTATCGGGTTCGAATCTCGTTAGATCAAGGAGGCACGCTGTGGGTCAAACAAGATGACAGATCAGATGTCATCTTCTTTCCAAAGGTAAATTAACTTCTTCCAAACTTTGGCTAAAAACTCCTTGGTTAGTGCAGTTCACAATAATTTCTATTTCAATAAAATCTTTAATTCTTGGCACCCTTTACCTCAGTAAGAAAAATCACACTGCTTCTTAAAAAGAAACACTTCTTTTCTCAAGGAACAAATTTCTCGTGTGACTCCCAGTTAGAGACAATATCCAAGGAAATGCGAACAAGGATTATTTTCTTCTTTTTAAGAATTTTAAGAAACAATTATTTTGTAACAATACTCTTTTACGTTTTTTTTTTTCTGCCAAGTTCCACTTCCAGGAAGTATGCTATTTTTTATTTGTCTTGAAAAAAACCCCACAGAAATGCCTTATAATTAAATTTTGAATATAAAAACAATTAGATCTGAGAGCTAGACTTTCTACAGCATCTACAACTCAGCCATAAATCTTTCTCTGCTTGTCGACAATTTGTCCCTTGCTTAGAACTTCTTGAAAAAAACCTGAAGTTTTCTTGATATTTTGAAAAGGAAACTGACAGTCCACAGTGGGTGCCACCCAACGGCCACAAGGAATATCACAAGTTGGACCGTTCTGACAACTTCTATGATATGTATGAGCCATACGACACGCAAGCAACAAACAACGGGAAGAAACAACTGTCATTTGTTGGTAAGTTCTTATTGGAATGAAAACACATTCACTTCAATGTTGCTAGTACATATCATTTTGTTGGCAGCCCAATACAGGAACAGGTCCTCACAAGTCCATCGCAATTCATCACAAGTCAATCACAGTCCATCACAAGTCAATCACAGTCCATCACAAGTCAATCACAGTCCATCACAAGTCAATCACAGTCCATCACAAGTCAATCACAGTCCATCACAAGTCATCACAAGTAAATCACAGTCCATCACAACTCAATCACAAGTCATCTCAAGTCGATCACAAGTCATCACAAGTCAATCACAGTCCATCACAAGTCAATCACAGTCCATCACAAGTCATCACAAGTAAATCACAGTCCATCACAAGTCAATCACAGTCCATCACAAGTTAGAACAAGTCCACCACAAGCCCCCCACAAGTCCATCACAGTCCATCACAGTCTATCACAGTCCATCACAAGTCTTCACAAGTCATCACAAGTCTGTCACAAGTCCATCACAAGTCTGTCACAAGTCCATCACAAGTCATCAAACGTCCATCACCAGTCCATCACAAGTCCATCACAAGTCCACCACAAATAATTCCGCTCCAAGTCAAATCACAAGGTATTCTAATGGACTGACAAAAGCATTCGTTTTCCCCCATTTTTCATCCCTAGTAATTACTTGTGACTGGACTCGCGAAATGACATTTGAAGGACTTTTGACAGGAATTATGATTTACTTGTGGTAGATTGGTGATGGGCTAGATTACAATATGCACCACAAATTGGTGGGCATATGTTTCTATAAACGAAAAGTTCTGTAGCAATGAGCACAATTTGTTGTAATTTTACTACCTATAAAGGCTCCTTAGAAGGCATTAACCACGTCCTGACCAGCATGGTGTACGTCCCCTGGTGCCCCCACTGGCCAACTCCGCCCAACTGGAATCTCCCAGAATCCTCCTGGATGGATCCGTCCAATCACGATCAACTGATGAGTGATGATCCTCTCAAGCCTGCCATCTGGCCGCAGTGGTACAAAAAATAATACTACAATTACTAATTTTTAAAAACTATTTTCATTTAATACTAAAAATGAAACTTAACCACACAACTCAGTTTTAGAGTTAACAGACAGATTAAATGGCCTCCGATTAAATCCAAGTTGATTAACCACCAGTCTCATGCATCTTTAATATATACTTTAGAACTACAACTTCAAATTTTTGCAGTTTATATTCAACCATACAGTGTCACCTACAGATCAGTAAACTGCAAAGTTGCATATGGAATACTGTCTAATTCAAATTTCTGAATAAAACTAGTTGTAGTCAAGTCCTGGTAAGTACTCAAAAGTCAATCATAAGCCACATGAGAAACGCTCAAATGAACTTTGGCAAAAGCTTGAATTTTGTCATTAGTCATCCCCTGTTACTTGTGACTGTACCTTTTGAATTGACTTTGTAAATTATTTCACTTGTGATTGAGTTGACTTCAACTCTTTCAATAAGAATACCCTTGATCATTTTGCTGTCCAGGTATCCACGTTTCTGGTACCCCTTCCCACGCAAGAGTTGGACCTGGTGGCCCCGCGTGCTACCCCCCTGGTGGCTCAATCAGACCTGCTCAGACTGGACCAGCCACGTCCATTTAGAAATGCACGAAATCACGCCAGAAACCTGCGACGCAGAGAAAGACGATGTGGTGCAGTGGGATGCTGATATCCACGTGAAAGCGCGGGGATCTCAACCTAAAAGTCTCATCACAGAGTAAGGGAAAGAGACTTAGCCTTTATTTTCCCGCTGATTTTTCTTGCTGATCTGTAAAACCCTTCTCGTTTATTGAAAGGTGTCCTGGTAGGTTGCTATCAATTGCAAGCCCAAGAGTACATAAACAAGAATCTGTAATCATAAACCTTTTGAGGACCACTTGACTAGAAGTGTCGGAAACTTAGGCTTAAATGGCCAAAGCAGTTGCAGTCTAGTAGCCAGCGTTTTCAACCTTCTGTTTTGCTTTCAGTCAAGTCCGAGTTCAAAAAGGCTACTTATGAGGGCACTAATAATCCTGCTTGTTCAGTCCTCACAGATTAGGTGCTTGGGCTCAAATTCAATACTGACAAATAATTAAAAATACGCAGGGATTTAGAAAAGGGCACGACAGAAGACAGAGACGGAAGGATCAAACATGCTCTGCCAAACTTTAATTTACCTCATATATGTCACCCCTCCACAGCAACCTGTTCACCTATTTCTCGCCGGATGACAATTCTTTCTTGTTGAAAAATCTGTACATTCGCTCCAAGGAGGAGACGTTCCAACTGAAGTTCACTCTGGAAGTGGTAGAAAAGCAGGTAGGATATTACATTAATGGAGACACAACATGTTTCAGAGCTGAACTGTAGGAGGAATAATTAATTGAGTTATTTGAAATGATATCCACGGAAACATTGGAAAAGTTTGTACATTTACAGACAACACAAGTCAGACCTAGTAACACCGGTCCAAGAGCATACAAACTTTGAGTCAATTGATTCAGAATTCACTGGAAGTCTTTTCATGCATCAATGTACAATGAGCCGGATTAAGTCCATTCATTGGCATTACAGGGTAATCTTCCACAGCCTGCACAATAGGAAAAAGTGTACGGGGCTGACTATGGATTTAATTGCCTTAAATAGATGGAATTAAAACGATAAAAAATTACTTTCTGGCTCGTATATGTGCTCATTACCTGTAGCGGGTGATATTTTGAGACAGTACATCAGCTCTAGGTTGAAACAGTTAATGGAAATGAAGTTATTACATTTTAAAGACAATTTTGTTGATTATTTCATTTTCCCAGCTTGGAACCATTGAAAACACGGATACCAACAAGCCTTCGTTTACTTGCACCAGCGTGCCTGACTGCAATGACAAACTCCAGAAAATCCAGGTCAATCTTTTTGAAGGCACCGAGATGGCATGTAATGTCACCATAGAGGTAAGGGATGCAAATGACCAGTGGGCTATCATGTCTTCAGATGTTCACAAAAATAAAAAGTTGTTTTTAAAAAAAAAGTGACACACTGATTTGCAGTACAAGATATTCAAAAAACAGAACCCCCTTTCACAATAAGAATTCAACATGACTTCTACACGGGTCCGGCGCTTCTACATGAGTGAAATCCAACACTGGTCAGGACGAGGGTTTAGAGGCTCTACCTCGGTAGAAAACCTAAAATCTACTGCCGACATGTGTACTCACCAGTATATGTGTGAATGGTATGCCCTGCCTACCCATGTTTGATGGAAAGGGGTTTTGCTTACGATGGACCTGTTTTGATTTCAGCTAGGTAGGCCAGACGAGTGTAAAAAGGCCTGTTGAGGCCAACTCTTGCTCTGGCCTAGTGGTTTGGAACGCTGAATTTAATTGTGGTCTGCTGGTAATCATGCAGGTTGTGGGTTCGAGTCCAGCCTGGGGTTATGGTGCGTGTGCCCTTGAGAGTAGATGGGTACCTGAGAGGGCAGAGTTGGTGACTTTGAGAGGTTGATTACGGCAAAGAGCACGGAAATGGCTGCCTACCAGCCGTGTATGCTCCCCAGGGAGTTGAGAAGGTTTCAGTAGTGTTTGCCCATTGAACAGGGGTAATAATAATTGTAAAGCGCTTTTATCGATACCCTGTTTAAAAGCGCTTATTAATGCCCGTTATTATTATTATAAACACTTTGTGGATGTATACCATGTTGTGATTCCCTTTTATTCCTTATTCATCAGATACGTATGTATCAAGAAGACTCTGACAGGCTATCTGACTACATGATGCTATGGGCTTACAAGACGCTGCCAGAATGTATCAACTACCTGTACAATGATCCCGACACTACCATTGAGCCATCAGGGGACCGCATCACCATGTGGCAGGGGGAGACGGTGCCACTAGACCTCCGCTACTCCACCTCTGCAGTACCCGAGAGAACTGGTACCTGAGCTTATTTATCAATCCAAGCATGCTGTCAGTGAACACTAACAGGGCCCCCTTCAATGGCGAAAACATTGTGTTAGCTATTGTTCAGATAAACCGTAGAGCATTCGCCATTGAAGGTAGCTGCTGTGAATATGCAATGATAGTGTGTTCGGATGGTATACCTGATTTGGGGGGGGGGGTTTAGGTTGGCATAGCTGTACTTTCCTAATCTTGGACTTCTGTAGTCTGGGTTGAAATCCTACTTGGAGCTACTTGATTCCATGTGTTTCCCTGGCCTGGGTGGTTTTGAAAGTGTTAACATTTACTGTTGTAAAATACTGAGAAAGATGCACAGCTTATTTTTGCCTATCGGTTGCCTAGCTGCATAAAGTTGGAGAAGATATATGGTCCATAAATCCTTGTTGATACTTTATGGAACTCAATGTACAAGATAAACTCAAAATTAAGATGAAAAAAATCACATTACAATATGTAACTGCTAAGGTGTCTTACAGCATTGTAATTTAAACTTGCAGTCAGATGACTGCTCCGCAAAATATGACTTAAAGCGATTCACCTTATCTACAAATGCTTGTATTGGAATTTTTTTCCTACATTTGATTGCCTAAATAGGAATCCTTCACACTGTCATCTACGCCGATCATGGTCTGGTCACAGTCTCCGCGCCCGATGGACTGCGTGTCTACATGGACCACATGGGCCAACATGACCGTATACCGACCTATCTCTGCATCTCCGGCCCGACAGATATGGTACTAGAAGCGCTTCTGAGTGCCAAATTCACGCCCTTCAAAAACTTCCGGGGGGAGGCGACAGTGAAAGTCGACTATACTGTGCCGTTTACTGCGCTCTTGAAAACCTACGGAGTAGGTGAGTTGATGTATAGTGATGGTTGATGCTTGTGTGGCTATCATGAGATGAAAATGTCAAAACAGTTCAAAACTCTCACACAAGACTTGACACCGTTTAACTTCTGTCCACTAACCATGTGCAATGCAGCCAGTGAGTCCGTCTTTCATGGAGGCAAAATTGCACCCTTTATCTTCAAACAACTTTTAATCCTCGATTCTGATTGGTTGATTTTTTGCAAAAGTGTAGCATTATCCCATAAACCATGGTCCATATCGTACTCCACGTTTCACGTTATTCTAAGATTTATATGCGCCATTCCTGCTGCACACACGTTTAAAAGTTCATGTACAGCACCAGCATGTGTGGTCAAGTTTGCTTGAAGAATTTGTTACCCCACTCATGCCTGATACACAAAAAAAGTAGTGTGTCTCTATTCCTCACGGCATATGGGACACAGACACGCTACAATATTCCGTGTTTCACATACTTGAATGGGATAACTAATAATTGACCTATCAAGTTGATGCAGCTTGTGAAATATTGTCCAATTACATGATATACAAATTGATGCGGACCGCGCAAAATCTTAGACAAACAAAACTTAGTGTTCAAAAACACCATAGGGTTGTCTAAGGGGCGTTGCTAACTCGCAAACGGCCATAGGTCAATACCATAGTTCCCTTGATGAAACTGTTCCCATCTGCTTCTACCTCCAGTTATAAGGCCCCCTATGAGAAGGGCACTGGTGACCTTCGAGGTGGTCAACGGTGACCGGCCCTACTTCCCTCTGCTGGAGATGCCATCCAAGGTCTGTATGTCAGAGAGTGACCTACAGCCACTGGACATGATGAGGATCGAGGGACGTTACAAGGAGGATGAGGCGGTCACTCTGTCCATGGTGGCCCTCAAGGGAAGCCTCATCATGGAAAAGTCCAGGATAGCTGAGCTTTGTAAGTAGGATATCTGAAGGTTTTTATTAGTAAATGCCTCCCCTCTCAGCCCTTCTGGCCAATTTCTTGGCACTGTGTTATAAAAGGAAGCACATGTGCTAAGTTCAGCAAAAAATAAGATTTTAAAAAGTATAAACTATTGAGGGTTTGCGGTCATGTGGAAGAATCTCTTTTGAGAAGATGTGTGGTTCTGAAAAGAACCAGTTTCACAACCAACCGGTTCTTTACAGAACCACACATCTTCTCAATAGAGATTCTTCCACATGGTGTTATCACAAACCATCACTAATAGCAGAAAAGTTGTGCTTACTTTTAAATGGATTGTTTAATTGCATTAACTACTGGGATGCAGCAGTACTGAAATCATTGCTTTCAAACTGCTGGTTCACACTCAGCACGGAAGCAAACACAAATATGTGAATTTATAACTTCACAGCAAGTTTTCATATGCTGCAAAATGGCGCATAATGAACATGCTTCAACTCCACTAGAAAAGTTGAGTAAAATTTGGCAGAAAAGTAGTGCTTATACCTTTTTTTTAAAAGTACATAAATGTGCTAAGCAATATTTTGCTTGCTAGCATTTCCATGAAATGGGGCCCAGAGGGCAAAAGTTCCTTTGCAAAAAGAACTTCAAATCTTACATTCTATTATCCTTAAGCAGTGGCGTAGCCAAGGGGGGGGGGGGGGGGGGGGCGTGGGGCGTGACAGCCCCCCCATGAAACCTTGTCACCCCCCCAGTCGCCCCCCCCACCTGAGATTTTGAGTTTCTAAAAAAATTATCATTGATCTACATGACGCCCCCCATGAAATGTTCCAACCCCCCCAGCCCCCCCCCACTGAAAAATTCCTGGCTACGCCACTGTCCTTAAGGAGAAGTTTTTAAAACATACCACGTGAAGTGGATATAACTCTTAAAAGTTAGAGTAGATCATTTGCAGCTATCCAAAAAGTAACTGTCGACATTATTATTTGTTGAAAATCTTACATGATTTAAAGATGGGGATGGCAATAAAATTCCTGTGAAATTATTCTTTCTGGCATGCTGTCATTTTGAAGAAAACAATAAAACAAGACCATTTCCAAAGAGGTGTCAAGTGACGAATTGTTTTGAAATTTTCGTTGGTAGTTGGTTTGTAATTCAGTGAATTCTTGAATGGGTGTGCACAAGCGTTGACACGATGCACACGTGCACGCGGTTGCTATTATTCGTCGGTTCAGTGCGTGACATCGTGTAGCTGCAATTGGCTGATTGAGAACGTGTCCCAGATGCTAAATCAGCATCTGACTTCAGGCGCAATTCAAAACATATATCGGCAACTTTTGAATTGAAATCAAGATCCTAGAATATGGTTTCTTGGGATAGACAGCAGTGGCAGAGCTAAAAATTCATCAGGTTAGGTGTTAAGCACCCTTCTTTAGATTTTGAGCATTTCATTTCATTCAAACAAAAAATTGGCACAAATGACGAGTGATCTACCCTACCTTAAAAAAAGAAAGAAGTGTTCTATTAAGAAGAACCAGCATTATTGAAGCGTAGTATCGGTCAGTTTGCACCAACTGTCATCCAAATAGAGCACCATTAGATTAATTCTAGAAAGTCCACTCACCCTGACCACAGATGATTGTCCTAAGCAGACTGACGTGGGTTCAGGGGCATGCATAGAGGAGTGCAGCTTCCACACTGCCTGCCCAGGTAGCCAGATGTGCTGCTATCAAGGCTGTGCTAGAGTCTGCACTGAACCACAGAAGGGTGAGTTGAAAGAAATACTGGGCAAAGAAAACCATGCTTCTTTTTCCTCCATTTTTTTTTATTTGTTGGATAATTTGAAGTTTAAAGGCCAATTCATAGTCCACATGAAAGCGAAAGTGAAGTGAATTTCTGACGTCGACAATGAAAGTTTCATTATGAATGTTCACCATGACCCTAACAAATTCCTATGAACTGGCCTTTAATTTGTTGCTGTTTTCACAGAAGGAACGCCATGTGGATTTTTCTTTCCTTAAAATTATTAATTCTGACATTTTGTAAAAGTGACACTTTTGGCAAGGAAGGTGGCAGTCATTGAAGCATTTGTGATGTAACTTTTGATCTTTTCTTTTTATCTGCCAGTTGCTACGATTGAATCTCACACCCCACGAAACGTCAACATCCACGGCAACATTAGCACCATCAACCGCGTGCTGGAAGCAGAAAACGTATGGTACCTAGCCAAACCCTGCCAGACAGATGACGCAGGGGAGATAGTGACAGACAGGGTGATAGAGACCCAGGAAGATGTCATCAGGATTGAGGTGAGAATGGAGAGAAGAAATTGGGTGAAAAAGTTTACCCTTACAAATTTGGATCCGTCCACACCTGACATATATCTGCATTACGGTGTAAAGGTCTAATATGCTTGAGCATGTGCGTATAATGATGCCATTTTGGTGGCATAAACAGATTCTGTTAATTTTTGTATGAAAGTAAAGTTACTAAACTGCTTAATTGAATGGGATTTTCCAGTGTTTATACGTACCACAGACATATAAATGCATAGCCTGCCAGTAGCAGGCGCAAAACCGTTGTAATGAAAATCGTGGGCAATGAAGCCAGAGTTGAGGCGTGTTCTTACTCACATCGCGTATTATGTGTTTACCTTGCTCATCTCTGTACGTACGTATACATGTATGTATCCTTGCTCCTGGAATTTGTACAGCTGATGAGTAAAGATTTTTTAGGTAAATTATACGAGAGTGACGACAGGTAATGCCTGTCTCTAAGCATACTTCATAAGTGAAAAGAAACAAATAAGTAAAAAATTACATATCTAGCTCATTTTAAAGAAATTTCACGGACGGAAATATTCAACCATGCGTAAAACGTCTACGAAATTTTGATTGAGTCAAGAGCCATCACCACCACAAATTCCTGACTTTGTTTTCAGTGGGAGCTGTACTCCGTCTATGTGTTTATACGTCTGTGGTTTGTACTAAAAAATAGGCATATTGATACAGAGCTCTCATTGGCTAAAAATCTGGCCATTTACCTGATGATTATATGAATGTGATGTTGTTGCAGATCATTCCGGCTCGTAATCCTGAGGGAGATTCTGTCTTTGGTAGTCTGTTTGTCCATATTAGCTGCACACCACCGGTGGAAAAACCATCAGCTCCTGGTACGTAACACTCAGAGCCAATGTCCTTCTGCTGTATGAATCAAAGTTACAAGCATTAAACCTTCATGACAAGTCAGTCATAAGAAAATGTTACACCGCAGTCATTTGAGTGGTTTATAGCTTCACTTGACTTGCGGTGTGATTTGTAACGGACTTTCAATAAAATGACTTTCAGTACAACTTTGGAAGTGGCTGACGTAAATGGTAATATTGGATATTGTCCTTCAATGACATAGTTTAATACGTCATGAAAAACAACTTGAAAATGTGATCTCCTGCTTACTGGTGTAGATGCACCACTCGAACTGTAATGTGACTCGAACTGATACTTGTAAGCTTACAGAGGCACTCATTTATGTTGAACACATCGTGTCAGCTAATGATCAGAATAATGGTCACACGGATCAGTTACTTAATAGCCGGCAGTACGTATGTACAAGCAGTGTACAGATCTTCAGCGCCCAGTGGTGTAAGCTTTGTCCGTCGTTTTGGTGTAACTAAACCAGTGCCAACATGGTACTACCTTTAGCAGACCTTGCTAGTTGTTTTATTTGATGCTTCTTTCTTGACAACACAGCTGAGGAAGCAGAGTCATCAGAATGTCGTGAGGAGTGGGGGGCGTGGCTTGACTGCCAGTTGACGGAGGGGATGATATGTGGACGAGGGTCACAGGTCCAACAGGGACGGTGTGGGGTGGAGGAGCTGAGGCAGGAAAGGCCATGCATGATCTGTGGTAAGTGACAAAAATTAGAATCTCATTACATAAACGCCATAGTTTTGTGTGAGGTGTTCTCGTCTATACAGACATAATGCTCCTTTGCGTACTTCAGGGACCACACATTGGCAGATCTGTGGGGGGAAGGGGGGGGGGGTGGGACAGGGGGCCTGCCCCCCCCCCCCCCCGGTTTTTGTTGTTGTTGTAAACATAACACATGACCATTCTAGACCAATTACATGATAATATCCAATTTAAGAACTCACAGAATATATGATTCACATATGATCATGATGCCTTATAGTACAGTAATAATACGTCATAGTATGTGGTAAAAAGATAAGTTATGTATCACAAAAAGTGGTATCACTGCAAACAAACTGAAAACCCTTCCCTTTTGAAAAATAATTTAAAAAACAGGATGCGCACCTGTGGAGGGGATCCTGGCTGATCTAAGCGGTCACATGCAAGGCTGTACCTCAGATCTTCCCATCAAGAGATGCCCTACAGGCTGCGATGTCGACATCCACCATTCTGAGATTCAGTCCTTCCATTGCACTGGCTCCTCAACCAGTGAGGATTCCGATGTGACTCCGCAAGACCGCAACGTCCAGAAAACCAAGAGGATTGAGGTCCATGATAGCTGCGTCTGCAGTGCCTGCCTGACTTATGAATAAGAAGAGAATATTAACATGATTGCTCAACGCATCAACATTTGCATGACCATAATTGTATTCATTTAATGAAAACTTTGTGACCAAATCTTACAAAACAATCTTTGTAACATCAGTTTTTCATGATCATACTTCTGAAATTGATAATTGAATCAATCTTTGAAGGAATTGTCAAAGGTGATCATAATTCAGAGGAAAAAATTAAATTAAACCAAAACTTTATATTTTTTTGTAATTATGAATGTTGTTACTTCATTCATTGAACTATATTTGCATGTTATTCATAAACACTGAACATCAATAAGACGCTAGTAAATATATTATGCACATATTTCCATTGTAAGCTGTTCATCTAAATTAAGCCATCTGAGTTGTCTGTAGCCTTTGGAAATTCATCTTTGGAAAATAAAACTAATTGGAAATTCAAGTTCGAAGAATGAACAACGGGATATTTCATGGTCAAGTTTTGGGGAAAATCCAGCCATTTTGGTACCAACTGGTACCTACACTTCATTAAAAAACGTATGAGAATAATTAAATACAAGAAGCTATATCTTACCACAAAGATTTTCACCATGTCTTCAGCGATAATATTTGGAGGAATAATTGAGGTTGAATGAGGTTGATTTAGGGGGTTTTGTGAAATTTGGCTGTTAAATGTTATTACTTAGCAGCACCATGGCATGTATCTTTAGGTGAATTTGTGTGTGCTATAAAAAATGAAACACGAAGTAACAAGCGCAATTTGTGTGACATTATGATACTTCAGTTGATTGTATTAATGTGAAATTATTCTAGATTGACGAAATTACAGCATTTGAGGCACCATGTAACAAACTATGCTTTAACTTATGAGTTATTGAGAGTAATAATAATACACTATTGAATTTGAAACCTCTTAAAATCCAAGAGTTTGTATTGATAAATGATACCATAAGCTTATAGAACTATCACAAATAAACAGCATTTAGAATTTTGTTTACATTAACTCTATACCAGACTAGATGGCAATTGTGACATTTAATATGTAATTCATTTTTACTCCTAAGTTTGAATTTTTTTACATTTTGCTTTGCTTTCTGAAATGTTGATATTGTAAGTTTTTTTTAAGCAATCTAAACTTTTTGTTGTCCGACACTTTGATTAATTGTTATCTAAATTATTTGACAATTTTTTTGTTATACATCTAATCACAGCTTTTGTGTGCCAGCAATAAAAATGAACCAACACTTATATCCCTTAAATATGTCATGCACGTTGAATTCTTCTTATTGCTGTCAATTTCTTTCAGAGTTTGAACTGACAACATCCAAAACCAGGTGAACCATACAAAAGAACACAATATTCACTCTGTCACTGTTATATTGTCCATGTGTACTTGGCTGTAATAAGAAATTCTGCAAAAACTGCCAACAGTAAAGGTTAACAAAAAACCTGTTTGTTCAGGGGAGAGCGTTTACAGCAAAAACATGCCACTCACAGAAGGACACACAAAGACACTGCTTCTCAAGGTAATTTCATATATTTCTCGAATAATCCACATGGTTAGGAAAATAGAAAAGTACAGTTTTAACACAGTTAATGATTGCAATAGAAAAGTTCTGTTACGCAAAACCTGCAATAGTACAATAGTATAACAAAGCACGTAATTGTAAAGCTGGTCACAAAGCACACATATGCTTATACAAATATTGAGTGGCTCAGAGTGGAGTGGGAGGAATATTATTGCAAGGTAAAATCTGGACTTTTTTGTTTCACGAGGCGAAGCCGAGTGATATGGAAAAGTAGGTCAGTTATATAAATCACAACTGATTCAGAATGGCTTTTCACCGGAAGTTTTTCACGCATGTGGTCTACACAATGGGCCGGATTGAGCCTATGGCAACAATAGCACTGCCCAAATCACAAGCGACAGTCAGTCAGTCAGTTGGTCAATGATATAGGTACAAAGACGACACTAAGCTGGCACTCTGGGACCAGCACTTACCATGATTGGAAGTAATGTTAGAAAGCCAACACAGAAAATTGTTTTGGGACGGTGAACAAATGTGTGCTGACTGCTGACAATCTTGAGTTGAGTTTTACATTCAATTTCAAGAAATAAACTGGACTGCAGCAAAGAGTTTCCATATTGAATAACTATATGCATGCAATTAATATAAATCTTGATTATATTAATATAAATCTTGAATATAAATCTTGATTATATTGATTACAATAAATACTAAAAATTCTGAGATGTTTTAGCACCATTACTAGAGTGCATAAACACAGTACAACAGATATTAGTTAATAATTGTGTATATTTGATGTTGACTCTTAATGGCAAGTAATTTCATTGGTATGGCAAAGAACGTAGAGCAGTAAGGCTTAAACTTCTCACTTGATACAATTCAAATAGGAAATAAGATTTTATTTACATGTAATTGTGATTTTTAGCACAATGCGTAGCTTCAACAAATTAGCATTTTCTGAAGTAATGAGCCCAACAAACACTAGATTCAGATTTTTTCTTCAAATTGTGCAATTTGGCTCAATTTGTCCTCAATAAGTGGAAGACATTTTAGAAAAAAAACATGGTTTTGAACATCACGATTGTCAAAGACAAAAAACAACACAGCATGCAACATCCAAATGTTCCACTGAAATCAACGGCCAGAAAAATATTTCATACAGTTGGCAAGATATTTCTAAACTATCACTAAATACGAAAAATATGAAAAGTATGAAAAGTAACTCTAATTGGATTTTGTCTAAATACATAAAATACATAGAAATATAAAAAACAAGTACTCATGTCATGTGCATCGCTGAGTTAGTTACTAAATATAAACAAGATACTTTTCAATATACTGTAATATAACATAATTTCTATGAACATTTTACGAGTATTGAATTTCAAACATATCAAATTCATAAACAGTAAAACTTTATCAAAACGTAGTCCTCTACTTTACTTTACATGTTATTTAATTGTCAATAATATATATAATTTACGACACTCTGATTAACAATAGCACACTAATATTCCATTACAAGAGGATAGTACAACATGGATTTTCTTTATTAAACCCATCTCTAGACAGCAAGGTGCAAGCTTGACCAGAATTTCTGTCCCGGGGGGGGGGGGGGGGGGGGGGGGGGGGAACACAACAAGAAAAAAACTTGCCATGCCTGTAGATAAGTTTTACTCATGATTTTTGCCGATGGAGGGGCTAGTTGCTTGCCAGAAGACTGGGGGGGGGGGGGGGGGGGGGGGGGGGGGGGGGGGTTAGTCGCCCCCTTAGCGACAAGCCTGGGGGGGGGAGGAAACAATTTACTTCATCGGCCTATACAAGATAAATAGTGGCAAAATATGGCATCAAACTTGGCAGACTTGATTTTCAGATTATGTTGGCAATAAAACACTCTACTTAAATTTCACTGGCAATTTCAGAGGCAGTTAACAATGAGTGCATTTGCAAGAAATCTTTTAAATGCTTGAAAGTACCCAAGTCTCGACAAAATAAGCCTTTATTACAGTATGGAAAGGTAATACTTAAGAATTAGCACACTAAAATACATCCGCCACCCATAAACAAGCAAAGCAGGAAGTTTTGACTTTAGTTATAGTTGTCTCGTTTTTAGGGTTATTTTTCTGTACTATTGAAAGTTTGGAAAGTGTGAGAAAACAGAGGATGCAATTTGTGCACAGTAATTTCACCATCATCAAAGGGCCCAATGATTATACAAGCTCTCTTTGTGGTTTTGAGATGAGACACATAAACATTACATGTACTTCATACTGAGTACTGCCACACTCACTCAACACAGAAAGACATTAGAAGTAGAAAACAACAAAGTCCAGTAGAAAAAATTGATACTTTCTCAAAATAAGCAACTCCTGTAAAATACAATCCTGCATTGTATTCAAATTACATCTTTCATCCATAGTGACAAACAAACTATCCACAAGCTTGATTAAATTAATTTGGTGTGGTGAAACTGACAGAATAAAAGCAGTTTCTAATACTATCTTTAAAGAAAATGACTTAAAATTGCCAAAAAATATTAACATACTTGTATCTTTAGGTACTGCACAGTACTCACGTAAGCTCTCCGAATCCAAACCTTTATGCCGTCTCGTTATGCTGTCAAGCGACGATGCGGTGACCATGGCAACAGTGAAGGATGCTGGTTAGTTTAACTTTCCTCCCCGTCCGCTAGGAGGACATCCACTTGCTCCAGCTCATAGGCCAGGTTGTCTCTCTGACAGACTTCGTCATCCTCCATCGCATTCATCAACTTCCAGGAATAGACAGGACAAAGACTTTATTTATCTTGTATGTGGCATTTGGTTGCGAAAGTTGACTTTTGGACAATCTACCATATCTGAACAAAAACATGGATGTTTGCCTGTATGGTGTTATGCCTCATATAAAATATTGAGGAATTTCTTTTAAAAATAATTTCAAAAGTAACTCGGTAAAATACTCAAAGAGCTCATCTTTACCAAGTAGACATTTTGAGACTTTTGTTGGCTACTAGACGAGAGTAGAATTGGCCTGATCTTATTTTGGAGAGTTTGTGGCAACCATGTCTAAGTCTGGACACAGATATACTTACCAATTCTTTGTTGCTCTTGGTGAACTGGTACAGCTGCAGTAGGGTACTCAGCTTGCTGAAGAGACCCGTGAAGTTCTGCAAATTGGTTAAAAAATTTGTGAAATCAACTGTTTATTCAGTTTGTTTATTTTGTTCTCACAAATGTTAACAACATATTGCCAATGTTGTCATTTTGTCAATATTTTTGTTAGAATTGTGATTGCTTGTGATGGACTTGTGATGAATTGTGATAGACTTATAATAGAGTTGTGAGGACTCGTGAGAACTTGTTATGGACTTGTGAGGACTTGTATGGGACTGTGATGGACTTGTGAGGACTTGTGATGGACTTGTAATGAACTTGTGAGGACTTGTGATTGACTTGTAATGGACTTTTGATGGACTTGTGATGACTTGTGAGGACTTGTGAGGACTTGTAATGGACTTGTAATGGACTTGTGATGGACTTGTGAGGACTTGTAATGAACTTGTGATCGACTTGTGATTGACTTGTGATGGACTTGTAAGAGACTTGTGAGGACTTGTGATGGACTTGTGATGGACTTGTGATGGACTTGTGATTGACTTGTGATGGACTTGTGATGGACTTATGATGGACTTGTGATGGACTTGTGAGGACGTGTGATTGACCTGTGATGGACTTGTGATGGACTTGTGGGGACTTGTGAGGACTTGTGATGGACTTGAATGGACTTGTGATGGACTTGTGAGGACTTGTGATTGACTTGTGATGGACTTGTGATGGACTTGAATGGACTTGTGAGGACTTGTGATGGACTTGTGAGAACTTGTGATGGACCTGTGATGGACTTGTAATGGACTTGCGATGGACTTGTGAGGACTTGTAATGGACTTGTGACAGCCTTGAGATTGAGTCGCAACACGCATACCTTGCAGGTTTTGTCCAGCTCTTTCTCCAGCTCATTGGTAGTGATCCGTCTCATGTCTCCGATTCCATCATAGAAGGATTCAACCAGTCCACGATACTTGTTGACTTCCCGGTTGTACAGCAGCTTGTTAAAGGAAGACTCCTGTATGAAAATGTCAACAACTTTATCAACAGTTCGGTTTTTAAAGATGAACTCTTGGTGCTCTTCAACAAATTCTATTTTTGTTTTCCTAACAACTTCTAAACTTTAAAAAAATTAATGTGGTCTGACATTGCAAACATTGCAAAGTTCTTCTTCAGAGGCAAAAAGAACTTTGCGTCTTTTTCCAGTTGGGCGTCTGCAACCCTATGAAATAGGATTTTTTTAGCCCTTTGTATACTGATATCAATCCTTAGAAGGAGGAGGGGAGGGGGGGGGGGAGGAACCAGTTTACCCTACAAGAACGGAATTATTGTCAGGCTCCAAATTAGCAATTAACAATTTAAAAACTAAATCTTTATGTTCAAGGTTAAAGGAGAAATTAGCACGGACAGTATACAAAGGGCTGAACAACTGTCCCTTTTTTATAAATCAGTCATAAATAAAAAAAACCCTGAATTTATTTTGCCATTTTGAACCCAAAAGTAGTACACAAATATCCAATAGCAATCAGGGCCTACATGTAGTCACTCTACCTAACCATGGATGTCAAAGGATAAACCATTGTTACCGATCCTAGTTGGTGGTCGGACTTGTTGCAGGCATCATAGAATGCTTGGCCTACGACTCCCAGGCTAGACTCCACGGACGGCGTGGGTCTGATGTCAAAGATGTAGTTGGGATGATTGAGAGCACTGACCCAGAAACGCAACGGCAGCCTGAATGAGGGCGGGTTGAGATCATTCATGAAGTAAATGAAAGAGGTTGTTGATTGCCAAAGGACGTATGCATCACCGACTGACTGACTGATTGACTCACTGACTCATTGACTTTAAGCTGTGAGCTGGGCAGTGCTTTTGTATAGTCTTACTCCATAATGCCAATGAATGGGCTCAATCTTGCCCATTGTGTAGACCAGATGCATGAAAAGACCTGCAGTGCATAGCCATTTGTGGTACAGAATTGGAATTTGTGAACAGAATTTGTGGACTCTGGGACCAGCTTTGCTGGCCTCCACTGTCACGTTCAGTTGTATGTAGCTTAAAGGCCAGTTCATACTTCATGTGAATGCGATGCGAATCTGACGTCATGAAGCATTCGCTGCGGAATTTGCCAGAGTTGAAACGTGTTCAACTCTTGAAAAATAGCACAGCCCTGACGACACAAATTCGTGTTCGCGCCGAGTATGAACCAGCCTTAACCAGTTCACCCCAGATGACGTGTATACCCACTGTTTTGTGGTATTTGGAACAGGTGACGGATAAACACGCAGGGAGAAAGACTGGAACTATCTGTCAGCGACCCGCTCGCAGCAAGCGAGGCCGGAAATATGAGTGTGCTGCCCGAGGGTTATACTTTCAACTTGACTGGCATGAGGTAGAGTGAAAAGTTATCCCGCGCTTCATTCCGTTCTTTACAAAATTATCTTGGCATGAATTGGTTCAGAGCTGTTTTTCATGTCCTGTCCAGGCCTACTTGCTCAATTTTTCTAAAAGTCGTTGCTGGGGACAACAACCAAGTGACACAACAGCATGCAGTTCTGCTTAGTTATGTTCAACAATAGTTTGACTATCTTGATCTATAGCCACATCTACTCACGTGTTACTTTTCCAGATATGAGCTATGTCTGGGTCTTCAATGCCATGACGAGTGGCCTGGCTGTCAAAGAAATCAAACAGGTACTTGATGGACAGCGGTGTTCTGTCCACTGTCAGAATGGCCTGGAACATCTTATCCACATACTCTTGGATGATACCCTGTTGAAGGTCAAAGGCCAGGGGGTCAGAGGTTATGATTTTTTTGGAGAACACGCATGGCTCATTTGCATAGTACTACTTCTCAGTAGCACAGCTCTGCTGTCAGAGATACCAATCACATGTTACAAGTGGCAATAGATCTCTTCCACCTACCTTCATGGTCAGTAGTCGAGGGAAGGTGATTTTCTGAGTCATCTTGCCTTTCCCCAGGGCCATCTCACGCTGACGTTTCTTCTTCTGTTTCTCAGATTCCTCTATCTCCTCGTGCGGTTTCTCCTACACGGCCAAAACATTAAGAGCACAAGTTTTGGGTAAAGATGTCCACAAATGTATCATCCGTGGGCAATACATGGCATTGCTAAGCATATGATTTATGTTAACAGTTTCTGTCTTTTTCACAGAGACCGTTAGCGGTAAGCAAAGAAAAAGGCATGCTAACCTCAGAGATAAAATACGCTTAGAAAATTGATGTCACAGATGAAATCCTTGCGCGCATCCCCTTAGTTCATCCTTAGTGCTTAAGGTAACCCAATTTTCTGCAGCTTACCAAATGCCAGATGATTGCACCGTCCTCCATATCAATCTCATGTTGGTACAGACCAGCATCGTTCGTTGCGGCTCCTGAAAAAATACAGTTTAGGGCTTAACACACTCCACTACAGCAACAGATTTACATCACCCCAATGTAAACTTCCATCTTATAATAACCACAGAATAATTTGATAATGGGCTCCATGCACAAGTACCCCTTCAACGACCAGAAAAGGGGAGTTGGGGGAGATCTAGACTGGTTCCCGGTCCATCCATTGCGTATTACGAATGATCCAAAGTAATTGGGGGCGTGGATTAGTCTGGGAAATGTATTCGCGTGCCGACGACGCCTGACGCTCACGCGCGATGACGCTATGGCTTAGCTTTGTGCACATTCAGGATAAATGAGTCGTGTGTACTTCGCGTGTGAACCAGTACAGTACGCACACATGCGGTGTCCTGTTTAAGGGGCTCTGAAGCCCTCTTTTGTTGGCGCAGAGAGCCCATAAGTGCAACAACTGATGAACTAAAGCAGCACAAATGCACCCAACAGTATGGAGTGCCGTGGCCCTGTGGTCTGGAGCATTGAACTCGTGGTCTGTGGGTACCTGTGGGTACCTGTGAGGGCAGATATGGTTATTATAGTTTATTTAAGCTGCTTTGCGCCGAAATGGCAGCATGGAGCTGTATACTCCCCAGGGAGCTGAGATTGTCTTTGGAATGTTTCATTGGCCCAATGAGCAGGGGTAATAATGATATTAGACCTTGAGCACCAATATTGGTGGAGACATGCACTTTATAAATACAGATTATGATTATTATTATTTCAATGTTAGATTGGTTGTACCAAAACTTTCAAAAATGTGTTGACCAAAAGTTTTAATCAGTGGCCTAAAAAATATAGCAATTTGTAGACCACTTACAAACTTGCAGAGTAAACTTTGAAGCTACATAAAGACACATTTCTTTGGAAAATGCTTGTGTTTTTGTTTTGGACCACAAACTTCTTAAAATATCTGTACCAACCTGAGGTTGCCTCGTTGATGGAGGTGTGTGCCAACTGCTTGGGCACCAAGGCCATCAGGGAATTGTCTGGAACCTATTGAGAGAACGGGAACAAATACAGCATCCGATGTTAATTCTACATTAAAGTTTGCCTTTGCTCCCCTTCCCTAAGAAGATAAAAATTGAATAATTATGTGTGGTGCTTATATGAATGCTTTCAATCAAAGGTAGGTCTCAATGCACTTCACAATACGGGAGATCCTCAATACAGTGTGCCACCAAGAGGCTGCAACAGAGAATCAATTTTTCGCAGTGCATTGTGGGAGACGGTCGACACATTCGCCACGGTGTAGGGACACTTAACATTTTTAGACTGTCCTGTCTGTAGTTTCTTAAGCGTATATGCCCTAATCTTTCAAAAACTCCCTCAGGTTGTCTACTAACATTCGTTCAGATTGCAGCAAGTCGGCCATGTTTTTGTCGACCATAAACTTTACAAATGGACTCTCTATGGCAACCTCTTAGTGGTGCACTGTATTTGGAACCGCCTGTATTATTGCCCCTGTTCATCAGGCTATGAGAACATTTCTTTTGTAGCCGAGATCAGTGCAATCTGGTCTCTACCCCCACAGGTACCCATTTATACCCCCGGGTGGAGAGAGGCAATTGTGCCTAGGGACACAAGCCCATGTTCCCTGTCGGAGCTCAAATCCATGTACCGTGGCACATGGGTTAAACACAGTAACAATTGGACTAGGGTGAGGAAGTTATGGGAGGAATAGATGAAGTCGTGTAAGGTATCCGTTTACTATCCACCAATCTATTATCCATAATGTCGATTCCCATATTTACAAATGGATGACTTTGTGGTGAGATACTCACGCCGAGTTCTGCCAGGGTGTTGAGCTTCTGCCATGTCTGTTTCTCTTTGCTGTCCGTGTTGGCTATCTGGGGCAGACAGACGTCTTGCAGGGCTAAACGGCCTGATTTACCCTGCCGCCACTCTGTGGAATATCCCAAGGAAAAACCACAGTTTTGAGTGAATTACTTTCAGACTCGTTGTGAGTGCAACTTTGGGAGAAGTTTGGGGATATGCTGTGTGAAGTCACTAAATCTAAAAAGAGAAGTACGGTTCTTGGATGGATTGGCAGTGTTCATTTGAAAGTTTTGGTTTGATCTATCCAAGAAACGTATCACTGTGCATTCACGGAGCCCCCCTTCATTGGCGAAAGAACTGTATCAGCTACTGTACAAAGCAACTGCCTCATCAAGATCATGACGAATTATCTGAACAATAGCTAGCACAATGCTTTCACCATTGGAAGGGGCCACTGTGAGTATACATTGATAACGTGCTCGTTGATCTATACTGAGTGAAGCATTGAGTATCTCTCCAGTTCTTCAAGAGCTCAAGCTCTCCCCTTTTTTCATATTTTTTTTTGGCCATCTAATCACAGCTTGTTCAAGTATATAAAAGTCCCTGGCTACATTTACCTAGATTGACGTCCACGGCTCTCTGACGGTCAGAGTAGGGCTTGTTACGGTACATGGAGTCCAGTATTTTCTCCTTGACCTGCGGGATGGCATCCACGTTTAAGACTTTCACCTCCTTCTTCTCACCGTCCTCGCTGTCAACAACCACATTCAGTGTCTAGAAGGAAGAGCAACATCAACATAGTGACAAAAAATAGACTCCTATCATTGAGTGGTAAAGATGCATTCCCCATTCTATGTTTGTGTTTCACCTCAAGAAATAGATTTGTTTTTTCAATTGTTGTATTCCTAGCAATATAAAAGTTATTCACTTTTGACTGAGACATTGAACAAAAAGATATACTGACGTTAAGCTATTGAATTATTTCTTCACAAATTCGAATTATTGGCTGCCAGACGATAATATGCCTCTCCCAGGCCGGGATATTTGTGCACAACATGGAAGCCCATTAGCAATGGAGACACCCAAAATCGGAATAAACCATTTTTTTTGTTGACCTTAACAAATTTGAAAATTAGTTAGGTGAAAAAATTTCCTTTTTTTTTTTTGTGGTAAAAAGCATGGAGTATACAGCTTTAAGCGTCTTACTTTTTTTTTGCTCACACAAACTAGTGCCGTTAACGATAGAAATCTGTATACAGACATATGTACAGTGAATGTTTCTTTGCATGGTTAACGCCCATTCCTGGACGTTTGCTCTCTTGTCTTTAAAATGAACCAAATTTCTTTGCTCCAACTTGTTTGTGTATTTTCTACCCTACCATTTCAGTGAACTCCACACTGGCTTTGAGTAGTCGTTCCTCACTGAGTGAGAAGTGAGCCTGCCTGGTGACACCGTCCACTGGTCCCTTCTCAGTCTGCACCTTGATACCGCTGTATAGTAGGAACAGCGGGAAGGCCGTGTGGTCCTGTATAGAAGTAAACAAAAAGAGCAAGTCACGAGCCATCGTGGCCAGGCCCAACGCACACAGAAAAGTTTTTAAAAAGTTCTAGGGTATCTCTCAGAATTTTCGATTTCACCAACTGACGTAGCCTTTCGCCAAGTCCATCGTGGCTTAACTTATCGGCATCAGACAAAGTGGTGAAGTGAGTCCCAAACAGAAGTTTGACAGAGTTAGTTTTTTTTCAAAATTACCTTCAGCTGATCATAGAGGCACAGAGCAATCCAATTGGAAAGAAGCTTCTCAACTATGCTCTCAGTTCTGCGAACAAAAGATATGATGGGATATTAATATACAAAAAAATGAATGTTTATGAGTGCAATGGTAAGAATAATTTCATTCGATGACACCATGAGGTGTCACCGAATGAAATTATTCTTACCATTGCATGAATGTGAAGCATTCGATATGTGCTTAATACAACACCTGAATAAATCCTCGTTATCTGATTGGTCATAGCCACCAATAGTGTGACCAAGCAATCGGACGTACCGTGGAATAGAACTTCTATTTTTGCGGTGCGGCCTGGCCGTGGGTAGGGGAGAATAATTCAAGGACATGTGATCAACGACCAACCAATCAGATAACGGACATTTATTCAGGCGTTGTATAACACAGGCTATATCACAACCAGTACAGGCCGGTTCATACCGTGACAGTGAACGCAACCGTGAATTTGAGACATCAAGACATGATTTTGTGCTGCAAATTTGCATACGTTGAACACATTTCAACTCCGACAAATTTTGCAGCGAATGTTCCCGGACGTCATGATCGCTTTGCATTGGCAAAAAATGATGTTGGCAATAATCCTAATCCTACGTGGGTGAAGGGCAAAACCTAATATTTAATTTACATTACCCCGATGCAAATTCCATCTTATGAATAATAATCCTATTTAAAAAAATAGAATTGATGACAATGCATGAGTAAACACAAATGCACCCCGATCCCACTCCATAAAAACAGGAACAGGACTTTTTTTTATTTACCGTCTGAAGAGTTGCTTGGTCCGGTTGTTGTCGACCGCTTCATGAACTTGATGAGCCATCAAAGATATCATAACACTGCAGAGAAAATGCAAGGAAAAACCAGCATTAAAAATGTCTGACTACATGCATGTAAACTAGTAAAGCGTATTCCCTACTTTTTCTAGGGTGATCACTTAAAGACTACTTTTCAAGCTGAATTCAAATTGAGTGAAATGAAATAATTGTAACATTGCAACAACATATATAGAAGAAATATCTTTAATGTATAAAATAAAGCCTATTACAAAAACTTTTCATTCATTTAAAATAACTAAAAAACACTGTTGTGACAAAAAAGCAAAATGTCTGTTTCATTCACCTTGTTTCATTCAGTACATGGCCATAAAAAGTAACCAACTTCTAAATTGGGAATTTGAAAAGTAACTCACTCAGTGAGATATCCGAGTTTGTCCTCTAGCATCATAATAATGGTGAGCAACGAGGCTATGGTGGACCTGCAAAAAAAACGATGACATCCAAATAAATTACAAGACATCTAGAAGTGGCTCTCAGAAGTGGTGATTTTATCAACATACTACGTTTTGAATACGCATTCTGACCAATCAGCAGATGGGTAATTATAATGTTATGAGTCTGGTCAAGAGGGTACACTGTAAACCTTGTAGTAAATTGCAGCAAGTTACATAATGCTTTGCTGCTTATTTTACTCATGTGTAAATGTTTCCTACCGTGTGATATGCCAATTTTTTGTTTCCGGTTTTCATTACTGCACTTTTGTACAGAAAAGCCCTTAAAGATATTATTACTTACTTACCAGGGTCAAAGTTCATGGGGCTACTAAGCGCAGACATTTGCTGATCACAGAACAGATTTGTTGAACAAAAATGGTTACCAGGGAAAAACATGGATGTATCTTGTCATTGACTGGTACTTGTCTGTTTCTTAGTTAGCATAAAATTTGCTAAGCACGATTTTCTGCTTAGCGTACTTGTCTTTCATGGGTATCCTCTTCTCATCATCCAGGGCATGGATGAACGCTAGAAGGAAACTCTTGTTGGCAAGGAGTTTGTTGAACTGGGCCATGGCCCTCTCCGTGGCTTCCTCAGGCTTCTACAAGGAATGCATCAGATCAGAGATATATCAGTATACTTCAGTGAAAAAAAAACAGGAAAAAATCAGGTTAAAAAGACCCAAAATAGGCTCAAAATAATAGAAACGTGAAAAGTTGGGCAATAAAAAAACCCAGGATTTCCCGTTTAAACAGGAAGATTCTCAAGCCTGACATATTGTTTAGAATTCAGGACAAATTTTGACACGACTATACCTTAAAATGCACTTTTCAACTATACAGCATTGTGTTAGCTATTGTTCAGATAATCCATCATGGGGCAGTTGCTCTGTACGATAGTTGGTACAGTTATTTCGCCATTATGAAGGGGGCCTCCATGAATGTATAGTGGTAGTGTGCTTGGACAGATCAAACCAAAACTTTCAATTACAGCACTGTTCATGATGTGTTTGTGCACGTTTTAAAATCTGTGCATTCTGAGTTCATGGGCTACTTCTACTTCTTCTAAACTTTGCGGAGCACTTTTACACTCGTTTCAGACCTGTGTTCAATGGTGCACCAACTAGAATATTTCGAAGATTAGAATTAAGTTCACCATTTGAAACAATTTGGAGAAACTACACTCGAAAGATGGACTGTTGCACTTGTTTAAAATGACCTCAGAGTCTCGGGAAAATTAGTATGTACAATTTGTCAGTCTGACAGCCAAATATTTGTGTTACTTCAATTGCTACGTGTGACACTGGAATGCCATTCTGAAAAGCATGTCGGGTAAATTTCAGTTTGTCGCGAATCATGAAAACTGAAATAGTACCTGTGGGTCAGATGTCTCTGGCTGGACATCCAGACCAATGAACAGCATGTTGGTGGCATACTGCCGATGGCTGACAAACGGCATACCGGTACCAGCGAGGTCATGGGTCAAGTCTGTCACGTTGGTCTGCAGCTCTGCAAAGGCTGTTGGAAGAAATGACCTCAGATTAAATAATATTCATTTTGTTATTGTTAGTCATTTATTTTAATAAGTGTTGTTGTCATTAAATGCTGGATTGGTGCTTTTTAAACTTTTCTTATTTCAAATAATTCTGCCAATTTATTTTTAGTCAAAACGATTCCATCCGTAGTGTTGATGTAATAGCACTGATTTTCATTTTCCCCTGAAAATAAAAAAAAAATGCTGTTTTACCACAAACTTTGAAAACAATTGGCTGAAAATCTCATCCGCAAAAATGAACATGCTTAAACTCAATTATACCTTCCTATAAAATCATCAATCTTAATCCACGCCAGATTAGATAAAAATATGAAAAAAAGTAAAACTGCTGCAAACTGCTTACTGACTGGATGGACCTGAAATATATAAATCTTAAAATTAATGTGGCCTGACGTTGCGAACTTAGCAAGTTCTTCTTCAGAGGCTAAAACAGAAAGGCTAAAACAGACATAGATAAAAATATGTTGTCAAGCCAAATGCAAGAGTCCCTAAAATAAGAGTTAAAGAATCATCATGACAAAACTGAAGTAAGAAAAACTCACCGATTCTCAGATCCTCAGCCATTCCCTTCTCAACCTCCTCCATCTGGATCAAGATGGCTCCAACCTCCTTCTGTGAGCCTCTTAGCTTACGATATAAGAAGAGAGCCAGCAGCAGCACAAGAGCCAGCGCTACGGCCGCAGCGATGCCTATGTACAAAGCGATCTCTACACTGGTTATGTATCTGACGTAGCCGATGAAAAAATACCGTCGGCTGTGTAGTACCTGCGATGCGATAAAATAAAACCAAAAACAAAATCATTTGAGTGGGACACGAACCTCGGACCTCTGGAATTCCATGATGGCGATCTATCAAAACGATCTAGCTTGTACTGCAATTAAACCAATTCGTCGTGTGCCCGGCAGAAGGGCATATGCGCGTATGCCCTTATGCAATAGCGCGTAATCACCAAAATGTTCCCAGCAAAAGGGCATATGCAGAAAACTGCCTCCATTTTAATGAAAATTTTAACATTTTCTTCAGAAATTAATACAAGTTGTTCCTAAACTTATGATTCGTACGTGTGACAAATTTCAAATTCGTACTATTTATATTACATGTGGGAGAACATTGGATTCATAATGCGCGCGAGGGAACAATGGAACCTTTCAATGTAATTTTCTTGAAAATGATTTTTGCGTCAGAACGCTCATATGCCCTTCTGCCGGGCACCCGACGAATTAGTCGGTTCTGTACTGCCCAGAACCACCCTGCCTGTTACTCCCTGTACCACCCCAAACCACCCTGCCTGTTACTCCCTGTACTGCCCCAAACCACCCTGCCTGTTACTCCCTGTACTGCCCCAAACCACCCTGCCTGTTACTCCCTGTACTGTCCCAAACCAGCCTGCCTGTTACTCCATGTACTGCCACAAACCACCCTGCCTGTTACTCCCTGTACCACCCCAAACCACCATGCCTGTTACTCCCTGTACTGCCTCAAACCACCCTGCCTGTTACTCCCTGTACTGCCCCAAACCACCCTGCCTGTTACTCCCTGTACTGCCCCAAACCACCATGCCTGTTACTCCCTGTACTGCCCCAAACCACCCTGCCTGTTACTCCCTGTACTGCCCCAAATCACCCTGCCTGTTACTCCCTGTACTGCCCCAAACTGCCCCTGCATTGTATTGTTTTATGCATTCCTCAGGAAAAAGATACAATGTAATACAATGTAGTACATGTGCTAATGGACTAAACAGCAGATATGTACTCACATATACAGCAGGCAGTTCTACGCTGGTCCGGTTCCCCTGATAGTCTAGGGGCTCTGGTTCCAGCTCTGGGGCCTCACATGTCAAGATGGAGCTGTCAAAGACTTCCACGCTACATTTCTGTGTGCCGATAAACACTCGCACCTCCGTCGAAGTCTGCGCATTGTTTAGGTCACTTCCCTGGATGCAGTCAGTTACCATGACAACAAGGAAAGAAAAACACAAAGGGTAATGTTAGGGTAACGAGCTCGAGAACTAAACCACTCACACATAAAGCTTTTACTCATTTAAATAAGAGTTTATTTTTTAAGTGTTTAAACTTTTTTATTAATCTGAGGGATGCGTTTAAAAAGAAGAGCTTTTTAATAATGCAAGTGAAAACCTAATCTTTTACTCATTTCATAGGATTCTAAACAATTACCACAAGTGGAAAATCCACAGTAACTACAGCAGAAAATTTGGCACTGACATCAAGCATATCTCAAGGGCTAACAAAAAAAATTTGATCCTGTTCACTAGGAATTCTGTGCTTACAGGAAAAGTACAGAATTTCTGAGGGAGTGCTGTAAGCACAGATTGATGATCTCAAGCATGGAATTCTGTGTTTAGCAGAGCCATGAAATTCAGCCGTCGTCGCAAATAGATTACGGTTGTACCTACCCTTATTGTGATCTTGGTGCCATCCAGCTCAAGGATGTTACCCTTTCCCCTGAAGAGATCAAAGACAGGGTCCGGCACGAACTCAAACTGGAAGCCTGGGGGCGCTTGGTTCTCTGACCACCTTAGTAGACTCGCCACGTCTGCCATGATGAAACCGATGATGGGTGAGGGCGCTGTTTGGCGCTTGCTGCGGCCACTAAGCCTGACTCCGTAGCTGAGGGCTGAGCTTAAGTCTGGAGTCTCACAGGTCATGTTGGTGTCACTGATAGCTTGGCATGGCTACGAAGGCGGAAGAAAACAAAGTTATCAACAAAACAGGGCATTTATGAAAGTTACACCGAACCTAGAAACCCTGCTAAACCAAACACCATACAACATCTGTTAAAATAACGAGCCTGCAAGATCTATCGGGTAAAAAGTCTCAAGGCCAAAGTGCCTCAGAGTCCGTGGTTGCCAACTGCAAATGTACAACTGTAGCAAATGGAATACAACTTTACCTTCTGAAATGTCAAGGTTGTGTTGCCATCCGTTTCCAGTGTGCTGATTATCTGTGGGGTCTGTATCTGTAGGAAGTTACGACCTGTCACATACACTGCTCGGCCACCCCTGTCCACAAACACAATTAGTATTTTATATTTGTTTTTGTCCTTCGCCTACGCATGTCATAAACACTCTACAGTCAGTGTTGTCTGAGGACTTTCAAGAAAAAATTCACTTGTTTGCTCAGGTGGGACTTGAACCCACGACCTCCTGCTTAGTGGTGCAGATGTCATACCACTAGACCACTGAGTTTTCTGGGGTCGGCTGGTTTGTTCAAATGTTGTCCAAGGACTTGCGAGAAAAAATATTGTTGTTAGGCCAAAAAAAAGTCTTTGGTTTCTGGTATGGAGCTTGCCTCAAAAGTGGTGCGGCGAAGCGGCTTTTTTTTTTTCCCCCTATTTTTTTTTTTCCACATGATGGCTGATGTTGCAGATGACGCTTCGACCCCCTTAAAACTCTCAAAAATATACTTCAGGGTGGAGCTTGAGGTGACCTCAGTAAGGCCATAAGGCTTAAGAATTCTGCACCCATTACGATCTTAACCGACACAATTTGGATAGTCAAGACAAAAATAACAGAAAACGTTAACGTCAGACTACGTGGTCAGAACATACAGCGACATTGACATCTTGCATGTGTTGCCAGGCTGGTCATTAGTCTGCTCCCTTACATATTGCGATAATTAAAAATCGTTTACAGGTTCCAGATACACGACCATCGCTCCCTCAGTCTGGCTTCCAGACGCACAATTACAAAATTACAACACCGTCTGCAAATGGTGCCCGACTAAATTTAGTGCAAAATATATGTGAGCTCAGAGAGGCCACATAAAGCTTATACTCAATCGTAACCCAATCTAAAAACATGTTAAAATTGTGCAGCAGCAGGATTCCAGTCAAACCAGTGAGTTTGGCGGTTTTGAGACATCATCTTACATTGAAAAAAATCTTTTTAATTTTGCCGACGCGCATGGCTACGGCTATGTGCGCGCAGACCAGAAACCGAAGACTTTTTTTTTGCCCTTAATATAAAGTCTATTGGGAATGCAATATTTTTTTCATATTGTTTTAAGCTGAACAATGTCTACCATCATGTGTGCCAACTAAGTCTGACTAAAACAAAATACTTCCTACAAAATCACACTTACGAAATGATACTTTTTCGTGGGTTGATATCAGTGACGTTAGGGTTGGGTTGGTAGGTGAACTCCACGTCAGAGTTTCTCTGAGCACCGTCAAATGTTAAGGAGACCCTCCCTGCATCCCCCACAGAGGAATTTGTGGTGCGACACACCACTGCCTCGTTACTCAGACTAAAGGGAAACAAGAGTTTAAAAATGATATTACAATGGAAAAACCAAAATGCAAAAGGATCGGAGACATCTCGATGGCCAAGAAATAAATCTGCATAACACTAAAAAAGTTTCGCAAGTCCAAAGCTTGTTAAAAAAAGTAGTGCAGTAATGTCATAGGCTCAATATGAACCAGCCTTGTGAAGGAAAAGCTTTTGTTCTGCTGGGAAATTGGCAAAGCTATTGGAGTACTCATTCTTGGTTAATTTGTCTCCGTCTTCAACTTCAGGCTCCAGCGTCCCCTGACTCAACGGACTCCAGTAAAACATTGGGTATTTTTCTGCTGTAAACAGCCAGATTTTGTCTCACGAGGCCAATGGATGTATTTTCACCGGATTTGAACCTAGCAGGATTCACAAGAATCTTGGGCTTGAGATGAAGACCAAACTGGAGACAAAGGCGAGAGTTTTGTCAACCTCCAAAGCCTCACCTTTCCCTGTCGATTCGACAAGTCACGTCGTCTGCAACCATTGCTTGGATGTCCCTGCCTGTGTTTAGGTCCGTTCCTTTGATGGTGACCACTGTACCACCATCGGCAGGACCAACACTTGGACTGAAGCTAGTAATCATAGGATCCTGCCAACAAATCAACAACATTTTATAAATTTGTTTAAAAATGTTTGACATAGAACAAAAAAGGTTAAGTGCTCATCAAACAAGGAGGAAGTTGAATAAGTTCATACTTTAAACGGAATGTTCAGCTGAAGGATAATATTGGGAATCCAGATTTGAATCTTTCACCTTCAAAATTCTGTACTCGTGCTCTACCGACCAATCTATCCTGCCTTATGTTGGCAGTCACCCATTTTTTCAATATCTTTGTTCATAGGGTGCTTGTTATATATGTGTCACATAGCAAGGCATCAAGAATTAATGAGGCAAAACGTTCATGTACCAATTAAATGTTTGAACATTTAACCAACACTTTTCAAAGGCTGCTCCAGTATATGTGCATTGTGTGTAGGACAGGCATGGAACATTGATCGTGGTCCCTAGGCATATTTAAGACATTTAAAGTTACCTAGGATCATTTATGTTATGCTTTGTGCGAGTTTTTGTTTGAAGTAACAAAATTGCACAAAATCTTTAGGATAACGACTGACTTGTTCAAATTTTAGCTCCTTGGCTACTTATACAGGGTGAGTAAATAAAAAAAGGAAACCCAAATGGCAGGACATTTTTTTACTGAAGTTCTGCATGTACACTGTAGCACTTTGAAAAGCTAGGATATGAAAGCCCAATTAATAAAGCTTTCTTTTAGTACAAGAATCATTCAAATCACTCATGCATTTTTCAAATTTTAAGTCCTTTTAAAGTCCTGTCCACGGATCACAAATAAGTGAGTATTTCTTCAGCAAAACGAAAACATTTCACACAGGGATGTATGTAAATTGTTTTCCTTTTGCTGAAACACTTACGTTTTTGCGATTCGTGGACAGAACTTTAAAACGGTGTTTGTGTTCAAAATTCCGTAACTTGAAAAGTACAGGAGTGAATTGAATGATTCTTGTACTAAAAGAAAGCTGAATGACTGTGCTTTTATATCCTAGATTCAATAAAAAAAATTGTCCTGCCATTTTTTGACTTACCCTGTACATTTTGAGAAAACAGAGAAAATTTATGCACAACTTTGTTGGTCTCATGACTGGATTATGTTGCTCACGTAAAAAATGTGCTTGTCAGCACACTTAAAAAAAAAACACCATCAATGGTTTGTTTTGAGTGATACAACTTCAGGTGTTAATCATTTCACAGGGTATGAAATACGGACTCAAGGAGGGAATGCACATGTCATGCATAGATAATTAGGAAAAGGAACGATCACGTAAGAGGGTTTAACCAATAAAACAAACAAGGAGTCCCATTTTCACAGGAGTCCCATTTTTATGCTCTGGAATCGGCTCTGATCGACCCGGTGTCATATGAAAATCGGACTCGTATGAAAATCGGACTCTTTTTCCCTTTGATTGTTTAAACCCTCTCATGTGACCGGTCCCTCTCCTAATTATCTATGCATGAGCACACGCAATACCACCAATGAGTCCATATTTCATTAAACCTAAATTCATGCTACACCAGCTCTGAGTGCCACGGAAATTGGCTCTGCGGACCCGCACCCGGGTACTGCGTGCATGTATAGGCCTATAGATGTACAAAGTAGTCAGCTTCAATCGAGTCACATCATGTAAACCGTTGCATGAAAATGAATTAATCATTCGCTTTGGTTGATCGGTGCCTTTTGCACATGGTTAAAAATGAAATGTCGCTGCAGTTACGCACTAAACACGTGGGCTGCAAGATAATAATACTCATGTTTATTGTTCATGCACCTTACGCCCGTGAGATCCGGAGTCCGAACCATTCGATCCATGACTCGTTCAGTTCGGATCCAGGTATTTTTTACCCAGGTCCATCGATCAGAACTGATTCCAGCACTCGACTGGTTCCACACTACAGTCCATGTAGTTGTGCAATGTACACTGAAAGCAGGGTACCAGTGTACGTGATTTGTGAAGTGAATCATTCTATTCTCGGCGGCATGGCGGTCGTCGCGGTAAATAAAATCATTAAGCAAGGAACAGAGAATAAAGTAATAAACGCTAAGCTTGCTTTCAAAAATACTTTCACAGGCAAAATTCATGATTTGAAACCAAATACGTAGTAGAATATTCATGTACTCAACATCGAAATCCACGGAACACGGACCTCACAAGGTGAAACAGTTATTCTTCACATGTAATTTCACAAGCTTATGTTTTTCATTGAATTTTCGGGAGCCGGTCCCGGCTCAGAACCGGTTCTTTTTTGAGAACCGGAACCGGCTCCAGAAAGATTGGAACCACCCAAACCTACGGTACAGGGAGTAATTGGCATGGTCGTTCGGGGCAGTACAGGGACTAATACAGGTCAAACATCACAACTTACCCTATACGTGAACGTAACGTCCCCTGTGCTTGTCAAGTCCGTGCTGTCTGGAGGCGCAACGGAGATTGTGATAGGTTGAGAATCACCTAGGCTCATTGCAGCAGTCCTACAACGTACACTGTAATGAGCGGATTAGGATTTAGTCAGGGGTGCGTTCCACTTATGCAAACAACGCAAACACCAAACAGTCAAATCCGTTTCGGCCTGGTGTTCCAGAACCACAAAGTATTAGGAGAGACTTAGGATGACCTACACGTAAATAGCTTGTAGTTTCAGAGAGACGAACTTTAAGTATTAATTTTCCATTGATTAGACTGTGGATTTGGTCCAGAAACAGAAGATCTTTTAATGACTTTTGCATGCAGTCTCTCTAACTGTTGCTGAACTTTGGCATTAATGAGGACATGTTTGGACAATCCTGTCAGTGGAGAGAGATTTTTGGTTTTTGGCTAATATTAAGCTGTAAACAGAAGCAGCTGTGGACTCCGTGCCATAACCCAGCAATAAAATTGCAAAATATTCTTACATCAAAACTACAATAGGGTGGAATTATGGTCAGACGTTGGATATTTCTGACTGTTTATCATTTTTGATGACAATTTTAGAAAGAACTCTCTCTGTTACATGTAAATGTACCAGCTCATTTTTAGTCAGGTTTCTTTTTAGCACATTGTATACTTTCTCAAATTCAAACCAATCCGATACCTTCGTCCAGTGATGTACTGGTCACCTAACCCAGTCAGATCACATGACTGTTGACCGACCGTCACGCTGCGGACGTCTTCAAATCTTCGGCCAATGTTGGTTCCCGTTATTTCGATGACGGTGTTGCCTTCTATTGGTCCCGTTGCAGGCTCAACCTGTGAAATTTAAAAATCAAAATATATTTATGACAAATGTTGTCAACAAAACTTACCCAGAAGGAATACCTTCTTAACCACTAGAAACACAGGAAAGTGCTTTTAAACTAATTAACAAGTTACATCCATAGATCTTGTATGTTTATCTCCTGGATGCATAATTCCATATTAGTTTGTTGTCATTGTACCAATAAGAACCAAATTTAACCTACTAGCATCTATGCTGTGTTGTATTACATTGTATTGCATTGTATTTATTCCCTGAAGAATCCATAAAACCAAACAGGCAGGGTGGTTTGGGGCGGTACAGGGAGTAACAGGCAGGGCGGTTTGGGGCGGTACAGGGAGTAACAGGCAGGGCGGTTTGCGGCGGTACAGGGAGTAACAGGCAGGGCCGTTTGGGGCAGTACAGGGAGTAACAGGCAGGGTGGTATAGGGCAGTGCAGGGAGTAACAGGCAGGGTGATTTAAGACAGTACAGGGAGTAACAGGCAGGGTGGAATAGGGCAGTGCAGGGAGTAACCGGCAGGGCGGTTTGCGGTGCACAGTTAAACATAGAACACAATTGATATAATTGAATGTAACCTTCTGTAGAGCAGGTGCAGGGCAGGGGTCACTGGGATCAAGGGCTCCACTGCTACACATATCATCATCTCTGAATGCGCACTGACTACCACACCATCGGCACTCCAGCTCAGGTCTCGCTGTTTCGTTGGACAGACAGCGACTACAGTCCTGTCGATCCACATCACACTTGTAGAGTGTCACTGTAAAGAACAAGGTGCACGGAGAGGAGACTTCAGTAAGTCTATAGACCTCATTTTTGTCATCACATTTTGAATGGCATTTAGCACATGCCTGCGACTATGGTCGTACATACGGGTCACTGTGGGGAAGACCTTTGTTTCCCTTCTGTTGCTTTCATTTGTTCCTATTAAAATCTCAAACTCCATAACGTTTCCCTGATGGGGTAGATTGATTTTTAACGACTTCCTTGTGGGATCTATTGTTCTATTGTTTTTACTGCCCCATAACAAACCATGTACACGAACACTAAAATACAGGTTTACTATTTTATTACTTTTTACATACAATTGAGTCATTGCAATGTGACAATACTTTGAGGCATTTGAATAACCCACTTAGATATTCAAACAGCAAGTGTCAGTTTGGGATAAACATAACGGACAAACGTACAATGTTTGATAAAATATGCAATCTGGAGGTTTATACAATTAAAAGATGAAAATGTAGCTACTTAAATCATGGACATTTGTGTCGGAAGATGTAATTTTAATATGGCCCTTTATTGACGTGATTTTCATGAACACAGTATTCAGTGTTTATAAACAGTAGGTGAAGTGCAAAACCCAATATTTAATGAAAATATTATACACATGCCATTAATAAACATTCCGTGTAATTAGCACATGTAGCAATTTTTTGCGCTCACCCGTGAAGCCGGTACTGTCATCCAGCTGTCTGTCACCGTTCCAACTTATGCTCAACTGCACTTCCAGCTCTTGCTTGTTAGCTGCATAAGAGTACTGACAAGAAAGTACAGCAAAAACACTCAAGACACCACTTCAGTGATACTCAGTCGTACAGTGCAGGGGACAAAAACTTCTATAGTCTTCTGGGAGCAAGGGTAATTTAAAATAGAATAAGTAAAGTCTGTCACAAGCTGATGTGGCCCATCAGGCTGGCATTTATCTGGTTGGCTGTTGTGTTGAGAATATTTCTATTCCCTCTGGATGGGATGCTAGTCCATCGCAGGTTACACCGCAGCTAATGCCGGTACCCATTGATACTCCTGGGTGGAGTGAGGCAAGCGTGGGTGAAGTGGCTTGCCTAAGGACGCAAAATACATATATGACCAGCAGCTGGATTTGAACCCCTGACCCTCTGATCATGAGTCACAAACCTTAACCACTAGGCCACACTCCCCCTCAAAATTTAAAGTAAAGTATTTCCTTTAAAACAGAGGGAAGAAGTTACTCTTTATACTCACCATCAGACTGTTGCACTGAATGACATCTGACTGGATTACCGTAGCTGTGACAGTTTGCCTGGTACCCTCCACCAACAATGAACACTGGTAATCCTTAGTTAACTGCAAGGTGACAATAACAATTCAAAATTATTTCATGAGTGGCAGTGGCACGATTTACTAAAACAATGCAATATTATCATAGGAATATCAGGGCAAAAGAAAAAATGCATCTATATGAAAAAGACTAATGTTCCAGCATAATGTGCCAAACCAAATCATTCCAAAGACTGAATGAAGTTTGTCACTAACTGAGGCTTATGACTACATGGAAAAATCAACTGATTTTATCATTTAGAATAACTCAAGAGTCTAGTCTCTTGTCAAAAACCAAATTTGTAATGGGATCAAGCTAAATGAGTCGTTTGTCGGCCCTGGTCAAAATCTTTTTTATTACAGATTTGAAAAGAGCACAATCTCAGCATTACTGCTGTGAAAACCGCATGCTGATACCATCTTTAGTTCAAAATTATGGAAGTGGGAACACCTACAGATGTGATGAAGTGGCCCTATTTTGACCTGTATCTCCAAGTGAAAATTCCCGACAAACGACTCACGTAGCTTGATGGCATCACATTTGTTTGTGTGCCTTTTTGTGTGAGTTGCTCCTAATATTATTTGATTCGGCGTGACTTTGGAATGTCAATTTGGCACTAGTCTTTAAAGATAAAGCAGCAAGTTGTGTTTCACCTGGGTTGCATTTGGCAAGTTGGAGGCAGGCACCTGGATTTCTCTAGGAATGCCCACTGGCACCAGTACTTCCTGTGTCTGTGGTTGCAGCTGCGGACAGAAATCCGGGCCTCGCACTGAAGACGTGTCTGGATTCTGTAAGGTGGATGACAAACAAGTAACAAGACTGTGCCCCATGCGCAAGTACCCCCTCAATGGTAAGAACGGGTGAGTTGGGGGAGACCACTGGGAGAGACATTTGAACGTATTGCCCAAGATGCCCGATGCTAACGCAAAGATGCTAAGGCTTTGAGCATATTCTGAATAAAATTAGTCGTGTTCATTGCGCCATCTGTGCATAACCAAATACGCCCACGAGGTGTTTCCCGTCCTCTGAGTTCTCGAAAGCGGTAAAAAAAGCCCCCTCATGCATGATCTTACATTGAAACCATGAGTTGAACTTTCTGACCTACATGAATAAAAATAAAGATTGGTTAGCCTATTCGCTGAAACATCAGATTCAAACTATAGTCAGCCGACCCCAAGCTTGGTGGTCGAGTGGTAAGAAGTCTGCACTAGTAAGCAGGATGCCATGGGCTCCAGGCCAACCCCTGTAAGCTTGGGAATTTTTCTTGTTAGCCCATGGAAAACACAGAGTATACAGTGTTTATAAAAATTATGTTGGTGAAGGGAAAACTCAATATTATATAATGTACATTCATGTTCAATGAGCTAGATTTGACAATTTTGACTTCAGGATCAAACTGATTTGGAACAGGATTTGATTAACACAAACATGATATTGACCTTGCGATTGGAAACTCTCTAGATTTGCACATGAGCCATTCAGAAGGAAGATACTTGGCTAAAATACATATTTACTACCCCCCCCAAAAAAAAAATGAATCCGAAAGAAATTGGAATAACCGCATTACACCTGCATACATAACATTTCAGCGACAAAGTTTTGAACATATGTGAAGTGAAGCTGTGAGTTCTTTATTTTTTTGTTATAGCAAACAAGCCTGGTTCAGTTACCTTTTGGACCAAAATAGTAAGATTCCTAATCATAAGCAAAAAGTGAGGCACAAAGACCACATAATCTAGTTTATAATGCTTTCATAATGCATGCATGTAGTAAAGTATGTCCACTGATAGTGCAGTACACCTCTTTTCAACGTACAACGATTTCTACCCATGGGGTGGGGGGGGGGAGGGTTTGCAAGTTTATAAAATCACACGTTTAAAGTTGCATTCCTCATGCTATTTTCGAGTTTCATCCTGAAAAAATAGATTCCTTTTCTAAATTGCTATTTTTCTAGCAATACAAAAGCTATTCTCTCTTGAATGAGACATTGACCGAAAAAATCAGCCCATGTTTAGTTCTTGAATTATTACTTTACAATGTTGAATTATTGCCTGCCAGACAATAATCCCATTCTTGCAGGGGTAGGCTGGTTCCTGCTCCACAATCAGCAGCGATAATGCATGGACCGGGAGCCAGTCTGCTCACAAAACGGATCGGTCTACGCCCATAAAAACATTTTTCAGAGGGTTGCAGATGACCAGAAAAGGAAAAAAGGAGGCTTTTTGTTGGAATAAACATAAAAGTGGAAAATTTATTAAAAGAAAAAAACTGAATTTGTTGATCAGCATGGGGACTATAACTTTTAAAAGTTGAAAGTGTAACTTGAATGACTCGGGACTACATTTATAGCTTGGACTTGGCACGCCCTATGAGAAAAACAGGAAGCTGGGTAATTCAAGATGCCAAGTGCAAACAATATCCGTGATGGCAACATAGAAGGCAAAACCACAAAACTTGGGCCAAGAAAAACAGATCAAGTGGCATACATATCTTTACCAACAATAGTATTAATTTTACTGATTGGTATCTGATGAATCGAATGGCGCCAAATCAACAGGACATGCACCAGCTGATAAGATATATTTCCTCAAATTATAAGAACATATTTCCTCAACAAACTGAAACTACGAGCCAACATACAGAGATAAGACTGGGGAAAATAAAACAATTACCAAATAATCGGCAGGGAGAGGCAGGTTCAGGTTCTATGCCTGAAGCGGTTTCTGGTTTGATAATTAGTTTCCCATATGTATCAACTTGTACCCCAAATGGGCGGACAAACTGTAATGCAAGTTACCGTTACACGAGTTACCCATATATACAGGGGTGTGAGTAACCACTGATAAAAATAGCTGAAAACAGCTGAAAAAGGTGTACAAAAGCTGAACTTTGGAAATCTCCTATACTTTTGCACACAGCAAGTGAGGGAAAAAAGCTGAAATAAAAAAAAAAAAAAAAACAACAACTGAAATCAGCTTTCAAGCTGAGATTTCACACGCCTGATATATCCCTCTAGAGTTTTCATGATGGATTATTTTTTAATAATTGTTATGGGAGCATAATGACTTGCCATCTCATGATATAAGGGTACTGAAAAGATTCTTCCAACAGAGTGTAGTATGAGGACCTTTTCAACTGCAAGGTATTTAGAATTTTTACCATGTCCTGCTTTTGTAATGCGAGTTACCGATAAAAAATTCTTGCCAAACCAACACAATCATATTTTGTTGGCCTCTGTTTTGGTGTTTATAGTCACTTAACTTTAAGGGATCTTCTGTGAGAAAAATTTACCCTAAATGCTTTGACTTTATAGAATAACAGCCCAGAGTTGACGGAAGGTCCCCTTTAAACGTAATGCGAGTTACAGTGGAATTGCCCAATACGAACAAATTGGAAGATGAGTACTTCAGACTGGATGGTTTGACTTACGTTGTTTCCCGTAATGATGTAGTCCCCCTCCGTACATTCAGTGCTCATGTGGGTGCAGATGTTGTCATACACGCACCAATCGCAGTTCCATTCACTAGAGACACATGCGGTACAGCTGCACAAATTTTAATAAAATAATACTTTTAAAACGGTAGATTATAGCAAATATATTCTGTGAATAAACAAATGGCATAGACAGGAATGAACTATTGTCATGGTTAAGTACAGTCGACTATCTTTAGTACAAAAACACTGTTAATACAAATTCTGGTTATAACAAACATAAAGCCTTGGTCCTGACTGTGCATTTCTGTACACAATGAATAGGACCGGCACTCCTCTTAATACAAACTTCTGATATAACAAACATTTTGGTCTGGTCCGACTGACTTTGTAATAACGAGAGTCGTCTGTATATCTAGGTGATTATTGCATGATAAATTAGGAGAGTGGAGGGGTGGGTTGGACCTCATTTGATACAAAAGGGGGGGGGGGCACTGTTTTTGCTGTTTTTTCTTTTCCTTCTGTTTATGAGTGCTAAGTGAATCTGTAGATGGAAAAGGAAGAAGTAGACAACAGCAATAATTTAAAAACAGTCATCTCTACTGTATTTATGCCTTTAAAATTGTTTGAATTTTTTTCTTTTGGGGGGGGGGGGGGGGGGGGGGGCTAGCTGGCTCCCAAGGTGACTCCTCCTGGATCTACCAGCAAACACACCCATCTATGGTAGTGGATGTGGCCACTTCCATGCATAAACATGTATTATTGCCAACCGTACCCATGTCATTCAGATGCAGCCTTACTTACGAGGTGTGTCTGGTGCAATCGTAAAAGCTGAAAGTTGAACTTATAAAGTTCACGTCGGACTCTGACGAAAAAACGCTCAGATCCAGTGTCACATGGTCCTCTGCAGGAACAAAAATATCAGGACATTGGATTCAGGGTCACTTGAGAAGACTTTAAAAATAATAACAGGTACCGGTAAGGTAAAGTTAATTTTTTTTTCAATAGTGTGAGGTTCCTGAGTTATTTGGAGATGTGAAGTTCATGAGGCTTTCCCTGAATGAGGTCTCTGCAGCACATTGTAGTATGAGAATTTTGCATGTCAATAACTATACCATGAGGTTTTAGAAGGCTATTATATCATTAAATTATGAGGCTCAATGTGTCATGAGGTTTGTGGATCTAGTAAATGTCCTATAAAACTTCTGCTACACTTTGCACTGTTGGGTCTGTGAGGTTTTGTGCACCACGAGGTTTCATAGACTAACTACACGTATGCCATGAGGTTTCTGAGGCATGCTGCTACACGAGGTTTCACTTTCATTTAGAGAAAGTGGAAAATGTTTTATTTTTTATTTTGAAGTCTGTTCAGCCAACATAATTCTAGCAGGAAACCAATCAAGTATTTCAACAAGAAAATAAGCGGTTACCCATTTGCGGAATGAGTGGAACTGTGCTGGGAAGTGGAGTCATACATCTTATGATGTTGCCATTGGTTTCTCCTTGAGATAGAGGCAGGTTGTTGAACTGACAGCTGTAAGACTCGTCACCTTCAGGATCAGGAAGTTGATCAACCATCAGTGTGATCTGGAAAAAAATTGGAATTGCGTTCTTGTCAATCACTCAATCACAATTCAGCTACAAGTAAAATGTCTTAATTGTTTCAGCCTGTCACCTGACTTGTGATTGACTTGTGATTGACTTGTGATTGACTTGTGATTGACTTGTGATTGACTTGTGATTGACTCGTGATACACTTGTGATTGACGGATTATGATTGACTTGTGATGATCTGTGACTGACTTGTGACGATATGTGATTGACTAGTGATAACTTGTGACTGACTTGTGAATAAATTGTGAAAGACTTGTGATTGACTAATTATGATTGACTTGTGACTGACTTGTGATGATCTGTGATTGACTTGTAATAGACTTGTGATTGACTTTGTGAAAGGCTAATGATTGACTCTTTTATTGACTTGTGATACGCTTGTGATTGACTGTTGATTGAGTTTTGATTGACTTCACTAAAATTCTGCAAAAAGTGAGCTAATTTGTTTTTTTTATACAGGTCTGATCTCCAAGTGAATGCACAAAATGCCAAGCAAGTTTAAACCAACTGTATCAAGAAGCAAATATAGATGATCCAATCTTGAACGATTATGTTTGTAAAGTGTACCATTTGCCTGTAAAATTGATAATGTCAAATCCTGTAAACTTAACGTAAACTCATCCTTTGCTACAACTCTTTATCACAAAATGAAAAAAGAAATAACCAAAAAGTACTAAAAGAATTATTATGTTTAATTCATTTTTCTAAATATGATTGAAAATTTTCTGGCAATAAAAATATTTTTGGGTACATGCACAGTGACATTTTAAAAGTCTGTTGCAAAGAAACCATGGACTGGTTGAACTCAGCGGGATAGGACCTCCTGCCTACGAGGGGTGACGTCTTGAAGAAACAGACAGCCTAGTTTGCTCCGCATGGCTGGCAATCTCAACCTTGGCTGTAATTACCAGGGCTGCTAGAGTCTTATCCGTACACCGATGCAACAAATTTGTGTATTGCTATTTGCTACATGTACATTACATTACTTAAGCATTGTCTGGAGACTTTGTATTTTATTGATGAAGTGATTGTGGTCATTTCACCTGGAGGTGTTTGAGATAAATAATTTGAGAAAGCTGATAATTATTTTTCTGGGAGGAATATATTTCTGAGCCCCAAAATTTCCTTTTGAGCAGTTTTTAGGAGGTCATGAATATGTTTAATTTATTTAACGGAACATGATGTGAATTTTAAAATTGAACATATTTTGTTCAAATCTCCATTCCTCTGAAGTGAAATGTATGAAAACTATGAGACAACCCTTTTAGTTGCTTGTTTTTATAAAGTGCCCTTTTAAAAATATTTAAAATGTTCCATGCTTTTCCCACAACTGAGGGCGCTATTGCTGTGATGTCATTTGAGGAACATACTCTTCAGTTTAGCAGTTTTCTGTTCAAATTGTGAAACCAAAAATGTGCTTATTGTGAAAAACATTTGGCATAAAGTTTGCTCATTGACTTGGTGTCATGTACAGAAACAATGAAGTGCAGAAATCCAGGAATTTACCATTGGAAAAAATCCGAAATTCTGGCAACTTTTGCTGCAAATGCAGCTGTGACACACTTACATTTCTGTCTTGAACGCATCACAGTTTTGATCATGAATATGGAAATTTGCTTTTAACATGAAAACCAAAAAGGCACCAAAACACCCTTAAAATGGCAAAATGAAAATTGAAAATAAAGTTAAATAAGACACAAAGGTGCAATTTTTAGGACTGCATTACACTATTAAATTTCATGGGCCTATTTTTAGGGGACAAGTGATTATTTAATTTAGTTTAAAAATATATATATAAACTAAGAAATTTGGGACCCCAACTAAACTGAGCAGATCTGTCTTCAGATTCAATTACTACAAATAACCATGCAAATTATCTTTTGCTCAATCAGCAATACAGATTACAATCAAATCAATTAAAACACAATTAAATGTGCTTTCAGTTTCATTTTCAATAAATTATCTTTTCATTATGGCATAAATAATGCGAGCACACTGCACCAAACCCAATTCCAGACAGCAAGACATCACCGTGCACATGTGCTGTCATACATAACGCGATGATACGAGGCGCGCACAGCGATCACACACATACATCAACGACAGACGTTACTCAATCTAGCAACTTTCCACTCTGCGGCATTTTGATGCATCTAGCAGGCCCTTGGACTTGAGAGTCAAGGTGATATCTTGCTAATAATAAAATGAACCATGTACAATATCTCTCTCTTCCTAAATGAGCAGGACAGACTTTGGGCGTGACTTAAGTCTGAAAACAGGCGGTAATTAAATTACTGGATCAGATATTGAAATGAAAAAAAGTGAGAAGAATGTTGGGTTTAAATTTCTACGGCTATAATCCATGCAATAGTATCTTTAACAACTGGACGATACAATTATTGGTCATTCTATACATTTGGGGTCTAATTTTTTCCTGTCCCTGTTATGCCTTCATGAAGCATATGTTTTTTCAAGAGTGATTATGAATACCAACTACTTACCCAACATATCAGAAACAGCTGGAAGTCACTTTTAATTATACTTGAACGCCAGATGACAAAATAACAAGGTAACAGGAACAGGAAAAATGTATAAAATGACCCATCTACACTCTTGTCTCCAATTACAGAACCTATTTGCTCTCTCAATAACACTTTGACTTTACCATTTTCCCCACAACGGCCTCTAAGAATTTGACATAATGCCCTGTTTCAAGCCTTCCCGTTTTCTATCGGTTTAGAAGCTGACAAAAGGTCCTTTTTGCGAACATGTTTATAATTTATTTGATTTAGTTGTACATGCATCAGAAGTCATAGACGGAATTTTGGGACCCAAAAATGATTAAAATATAAATAAATGATAATTTAAAAAGCTTACCATTTGCTGTGGGTCTGTGATAGGCAAGTTAGCAGGCTCAATGTCACTGATATCAACACACTGAATGGCATTGTATGGGAGCCAGCGGGTTGAGATATCGGCCATCGGACACTCCCTGTGCACTGTGCATCTGTGAGAAAAATGTCGACTTCTTGGTGAGAATAGAAATGACAAATTTAAGTCCAACAAATTGCTCTGGCTAGGTTCACTTTATTCCCATTAACACCTGTACTACATTGTATTACATTGTATTACATTGTATTACATTGTATTACACTGTATTATATTCTCTTATATTGTATTGTTTTCCTGATGAATCCATAAACCATACCAGGTGGGGTTAAGACCCGGGGTGTATATGGAGCAACTGGTTGGGTGGTGAGAACAGGGGTTAATGAGAATAATCAAATTTAAAGGTAATACAACATTTGCTTTTGCCTTAATTTTCAGACATGGATGGATTTGGGGGTGAGTACCGGGGATTTTGTCTGATCTGTTTAAAGTTTGGTGTTCATAGATGCTGGAAAACCAAGAATTATTATTATTATTATTATTATTATTAATCATTTCTGGTAATGAAACCAAGGATTCCTCAAAAGCGCCCTAGGCACTGTAGCTCGCAAGCCTGAAGAAACCTGTGGAGAGAAGACAATGAGAAGAAGTTACAGTTTTAGAGGTGGGAGGAAAAGCCCAGAAGAATATTCTGGGGAAAACCCACGGAATTAGGCAGGGACTGAAAACCCAATCCACATATTGGCCCAGGCGGGATTCGAACCCGGGTCACAGCGGTGGAAGGCGAGTAAAGTACCACTACGCCAACCTGCTGTTCTTGTAGTCTGCCTCCCTGACTCAACTTCAAATGAAACTAAGCAATATATAGACGTCAAGGAATTGTCAGGTCAGGGAACCAGACTAGCTGGCTTGCACCCGTTCACTGATGTGTAACCGATTGCAAACAAAATGCGGACTAACTAAATTTGGTAAATTGCTGGCAGTATTTGAAACACATATCAGGTGTTTTTTTTCTCCGAAATTGATACACACAATTGATACACATTTTTCTGTGCCTGTTACTTTGGTACATTTTGTACTTTGTCAGAATGATTTGCTGGTACATGTAGGTAGTTGTGTCATTTATAATCACTCTTGGAGGATATGACTGCATTAAGGAGTGCAGCAGAATTATAAAATCATAGATGTCAGATGTAACAGGGACAGGAAAGAAAGTGGACCCCTAATTTATAGAATAACTCATGGAGATAAAATATTCCAGGTATTTTGGTGCAATGTGCTAATGATCAGGCCAGCTGAGTGTACTAGTGGCGGGATGTGACACTGACCCAGATCCACACCAGCTTCCTGTTTGTTTTCCTGCTGGTGTTACACAATGGAACATTTCAATGAACATCACAAAAAAATTACAAAACTCTACGGTGAATATTTAATTGTAACTTCCCCTGTATATCTAAAAAGCGCACCTTACCGGTGAAGTACATACATGTACATGCTACATGTATGTATTATATATCATACATGACCTGCATAATCTGAAATGAAGTATCCACCAGGGAGTCATAACAGATCATGTTCAATGAAGAACCACTCTGTCAATTATAAAGGAGGGGGTGATTAGCAATAAATTATGTAGAAAGTAATCATTTTGGGGCCATATGCGGCACATGTGCATAGAAGGCAATAGTATCTCATGCAAGATTTAGTGCTGTACAGTCATACTAAACAGTGGAGCTGAATATCTTCTGTTACAGGGATTGAAGCCTTAGTACAAATGTACTAAAATTTAAGCAGCTGCTTACGAGACAAACGCTAAGCATGTGTGCTAGGCATAAATCAAATCACTGACAAGTATATGCCCAATTTCATGACGCATGCTAAGCACATGATTTTAGGTGCTTACAGAGTTTTAATCTATTCCATGCAGGCCCATCGCCAAGGGGGGTTCTGGCTTGCAAAACTCCCCTCACAGCTCAATTGTCACATCTGCCATAATTTCACAACACTGAGCATGCAAAAAACAAACACAGATTCAAACACCGATCCATAACGCAACTGTTTATGTGTGGATGCAAAGATAATGGCTCATGCAATTTTCTTTGCGACTTCCTCTTATTCAGGCAAGTTGCGGAAGCCAAACCAGAGGGCCAGGTCAAACACAAACATATTAGTCTGCTGATTGGTAGCTATATCCTGCTTGAAGTCCTTGACATCAAGTCAGGCATGATGGTCATATGGTTTGGGTGCTCAAAAAACTTCTTTCTTTCTGAGAATAATGGGATATTTGCAAGAAACAAAAATATGGGATGTTTTACTGAATCCATTCTCGGAAAATAAAAGGAAAGAAATAATTGTCTTTTCTAAACAAACCCAAATTAAAAACTTGCAAGAACTGCGATCTTTCAAGAAAACAGTAGAAAATTGCAAGTGATGTGAAAAAACCCATAGAATATGCAAATTGATATAGACATCATTACAACCAATGGGGTTGGCATACCTTATCCATAACTTTGTAAGTGCTAAGTCTTGTGCAATGGCAAACCCAGTCAAAATAATACATCATTGTGCCTTTATTATCGCCAGTCCCGGAAAAACCTAATGTATATTATTATTATTTTATTGCTTTATTTCCTTCAACTCGTTGCCCTCAGGCCAAATTACAAGAATGTTGCAATACAAAAAAACTTCATACATGTAAATACACAACAATGTAGTCCAAATATAAAACAAAATTAGCAAAAGTAATGGTCCAGCCAAAATAACATAATGCTAAAAATTTCTCACTACAATTAAGGAAGAGGGATTGATAAAAGGCTATGCATATCATAAGATATGCAAATAAGTCCCCTTGGGTACCTCACTGACTGACTGACTGTCATCACTTGTGAACCGGGCAGTGCTATTGTATAGCATTACCCCGTAATACCAATAAATGGGCTAAACAAACTGTGTATACCACATGTATGAATAGACTTCAAGGGAATAGCACTCAGAATACTGTGCACTCTGGGCCCAGCTCTAGGCTTGCCTCGTCTCACTATTTCCATTACACAATCAAAGAGGAATTTAACGATTTTGAAATTTAATGAAGCACTGGTAACCGCCCCATATCTTACTTGTTTTGTAGTGTGCACCAGCCACAGTACGGGTCGCCATCCTGCCCAGAGCTGCCCCCGATGCAAGACTCACAGCTTGTGTACTGACTGCAGTTTTCAACTCGCAATCTCAAAAGCTGTTGAGAAACGATAGATTGAAAAACATCATCTATAGACAGTATTTGTGCAGATTTAGAAAACAAAACTGGAAGTCATCAAAAGTAAATTGAGGATTTCATGTCATGTTAAATGTGAGAGAATAATTGTGTGAAAAAAAAATCGTCTTTGTTTTTCAACAGACATAGACATGACATGTTATGCACTTTAGTGATCATGGTCAAATTTGTCTGTTCTCGGGTACAATAACAATGATGGTGAAATGTAATGTTCAATGCCCACAGCTGACAGCACGAGACAAGCTACATGTATGATAATCATTTAATCTGTTAAGGAGGAGGTCTTGTGTTGAGTTCCACCTGAAGTTCCATTTTTTTCTTGGTGCTCAGACAGCATGGAATACACAGAGCTTATAAAATATCATCTACGAAGGGGAAAAATATAAATAAATAAATACTTAATTTAGTAAGATATTAAATTAACAACCCCCTTTCTGAATAAAAGGCAAGTTTCCAAGCAGTTCTAGAGAATTGCACAACTTAAAGAGTTTCAGTACTCAATGGCGGAGGGGGGGGGGGGATAAGCAGCAAAATCGGGACAATAATACAAACAAAATCGTAACAGTGAAAATGGGACAAAAATTACATTTTGCAACAAGCAAACAAAACCCTTGCTACGTTTTTGTTAGTACGGTTTATTTTTGAATTCTCTGACTCTCTGTCATTGCATTTTTATTTTATGTTACATAATTCACATTAAATCCTGCTTATTATAACATAGAACTGAAATATATGGTAGATTGTAGACCAAGAGTTTACATTTCTAGGGAAAAATCTCTTTGACACCTCCATGTTTTCATGGGTTCGGGATGCATATCAAGGAATATTTATCTTTCAGTATAATGTATCTCCACTGAATGAGACATAAATAAAACCCAAGCTATCATCAGATCACAATTCAGCGGAAGTGGCCCACTTGCATCCTGGTTGCTTTCCTGTCAGAAATGTAATCATAGTCTTCAAGTCCTTGGTCGTTGAACAGCGTTGCAGGTAATGCTGTTACCACACCAATGATGAGTGATTATGATACACCGTCCAATTTAGTTGGCCATTGGTGACAATTCATCCAACACAATATAACTGCTTACATTGTATTTGAGCAAATTTTGAAGTAAAGATAACTTAGCTAGATCCTTAAATGCTTGAATGCACTGATGATACGCTGAAAAAGGCTGGGGTACATGTGCTTCAGTCAGATGGTTTTCCCATTATAAAATCGAAACAAACATCACATTTCAAGCCAAATGGATGTTTATGAGGAAGCTATAACATTATTTTCACATCTAAGCATCCTGGTTCAATGAACATAATACAAGTGTTTGTTAAACACTATCATTTTAGGACCACACCTTGGCTGAATTTCATGGCTCTGCTAACCACAGAATTCCGTGCTTATGATCACAATGTGCTAACCCTGTAAGCATGGAATCCTTCATTATAGGTACACATGTGCATATCATTCCTAACTTACCTGCGATATTTACTATGTGTAACTGTAAGCATGGAATAGTCTGCTAAATTAAGCAGGGATTTATCACAAACGATAAGCAGAGCTTGGGCTCTGGTATGCTGATTGGCAATAGAAAACTGGTCAAGTTGTCATTGTTGTACGACACTGATAGCTCTGCAACGCAGTAGAGATTGGTATGTCAGTGATATATGCAGAAGAAATTCTATTTAACAGATTTTTCCTGCTGAAAAAAAGTGTTACAAATACTATTGTTGATGTACCCTAACGTGGTATGGCCCCCAACGTGCGCACTTTGATTTTTCGCCTGTAGCGCCTAGCTAGAACAAAAAGTTTGAACTGAAATTTCACAGAAAGTGAAATTTCATCAAATTCTAAACACTCCCGTTCATAAATCGCGAGTTTATTTGTCCCGTTACAAAGTTAAAAAGAAAATTTTATTTTGGCGTGTTTCTCCGATTTTATTTTCAAGTGCAAACGAACCCTTTGAAAATGCCCCGAAAAATAAGAAAATAATTTTCTGACAAACATCTGGATGGGTATGTAAGTAGTTTACAGAAATTCTTAAATGTTAATTTGGAATTTTCTGAGATTTTCTCAAATTTAAAACATAGTGCCGCATTTTTGTGCAAACCCTTACAAAAAAAACCATGGCAACTTCCCATGGGGTATTGCCATTGGGATTTTGCCCATGGGTTTCCAAGGCGAAACTCTATTAGAAACTCTGAGAAGTGGAGGACTCTAATTTTTTCCCAGTTTACCAGAGCAAAATTACCATTTGGATTTTAATTTTGATGTTCCATGTTCTTATTACATCTGATATCCAAGGTTTGTTCATTTATAATATACTTTGGTGCAAGTTTGAAAACAAGTACATCGCAAAAATACTAGTAAAATGTTGCCACTATTTACTTTCATTAACCAGTTGGAATCAGCGTTTTTCTTAAGTTGATCTCCTACAGTGATAAGAATTTATATAACATTTAATTTTAAAAAGTACAATAATATTTATCTAGATCTATTTTAATTATTCCTTGGTATTTCTTTAAGTTTCTCATGTCTGTTTTGTAATACTGAGCATCATGTGTGATGATATGGTAAAAAAATAAATCAACTAATTTCATTAAGATCCAATATGAATTGCTCCAATGATAATTAAAAAATATGACAAATTGGACTGAAGATAATTGAATCTTCAGACGGAATTTGCCTTGAGTACTGAATAATATGACCTAATAGGCATCAGGTTATGAGATTCATGCTACGATGATTTCATCAGGCGCCACTGACAAATGCTGCAGGATTTGTAACGCCCCCCCCCTAAAATAACCCCAGATGTATATGACAGACGGTGATTGCTTGTTATTCATCATGTCCACATTGCACTGATGATAGCATAGTTTGCATCACTGCTTGTACATATAAACATACAGCCTGTTGGCATGAAAACCTGTCTCTTTTCTTGGTACAGAAAATGTCAATATTTAAACTGCAGGTACATGTGTCTCTGTTCGATTTAAAACGCCCCACCCCACCCAAAACAGAAGAAATTTGCAGTTTGAGTTTAGCAACACATTGAATGTAAAACATTCAAATTGTGTTGTGGCATTAGTTGGCCTTCTATGGACGTTAGTACACCCCAATGAATTAATTTATTACATTTATTTACCTGAGTATGCAGAGATCATAAAAAAAACTATAATTCCAAATGTGTGCCCTGCAATTTAGAATTGAATGATGCAATATAAATACATATCCTATGCCCATGTTACAATCATGGGAGGATCTAGAACAAAATTTTCAGGGGGGGGGGGGGGCTGGGGTGGGGGGGGGGGTGGGGGCAACTTTAAGCACTTGCTTGAGAATGAATCCTGCGAGCGCAAGCGCAAAGATCTTGAGGCGTGGTTCTAGATGCTGTGTGGTGCAATCTGAGGCGATTTCTTGCCGCTTTCTCATTCCTTTTTTTGTGTGCAAACACTCTTGAATGAATGTAATAAATGTAATTAACAAATTAACATTCCCTCTCTGGGGGATTTTGCTACAATTGTTTAATGTCATTATATTCACTTCGCATTCAGCGGATGTTGTGTACAAACAAGCGACGACGACAATAGTACTTACATGTATGCCATCCAAAAGTAACGATAAAACTCAGAAAGCAATGACAATATTCGAAAAATAACACTGATATAGTGCTTACTAATCTGCCATCAGAAAGTAACAATGACAATACTCAGGAAGTAGCAATGACCATAATGCTTATTATGTTATCAGGAAGGACCGACTCTACAATTGAAATACTGAGGGTTGGCTTAAAGGCATATAGGATCATTTGCTTTTCCTGACTTATGTTAGCCGGTTTCCAATAATGACACCACACAAAATATAAAGAGCAATGTTCAAAGCCTAACCTGTTTAAGTTTCAGCTCAGGGAATATTATACACTTTTTGAAAAAACAGTGAAATCCAATGCACAACCTTTTGATCACGAAACACATTTTTGTCTATACTCTTTATTTAAAAAATCAGTTAATTTACTAAGGGAATAAATGTGTGTTCGGGAGGTATTATAACACTCTGTTTAAGACCGGTGTGAGTCTGGATGGGTGATAATTACCTGAGGCGAAGCCGAGGGTAATTATCACCCCTCCAGACTCACACCGGTCTTAAACAGAGTGTTTAATACCAACCGAACACATATTTATTCCCATTCATAAATTCCTTTTCGGTCAAAAAACAAATCTTTTCGGTCCAAAAATCAAAACAAGTCAAAAACTAGACGTTGCCAACCATTTTGTTCAACAATTTTACTTCATGTTTTACGAAACACCCCTTTGACTATAATATGGAATGCCCCTCCACAACTTGTTACCTTATAAGGACATTGACGCACGCATCGCTCGTACTGCACGATATCGCGCAAAACGCAGCTGGGCTGGTGTAATGTGAATTTCGGACCATGAAATACTGATTCACTGGTAGTATTGCGCATGCATACGTGAGGAATGTGAACGTTCAACCAATGAAACGTTAAAAGGCACCGGATTTCATGGGAGTCCAAATTTCATGTGACACTGGAAAAGTGTTTAAGAACAGCTAGCCATGTCTTTATCATCCATTTAAGACCGGCCACGTGACGGGCTCTCGACCAATAGGAATGCGTAAACTGTCTTAGGTATTTATGAATGCCGATTATGATTATTATTAATGATCCTGTATGCTTTTAACATATATTGATACACTCATACCTGTTGTTCAGTCAGTACACGTAACTGCTGCTTGGTCTCATCCAGACTTATGTCAGTCTGTATGGTGCTGTCTCCTACTTTGATTGTCTCGTAAAACCTTGCGTGAGTCCCGTTTTCAATGTGCACCTGAAATGATCAACATGGAGACTCTCTCAATCTCTGAAGTTTTTAACCTGGAAGAATTAAACATTGCCTGTCCTACCTTTCAAACACTATATGGAACATGTATAGTCATGTTACACTTGCGTATGACATTTTATGAGGTCATGTAATTATTCAGCAGTGGCAGAGCCCCCCCCCCCCTGGCAGTAACCTCTCTGGATCCACCCTTGTTTAGTTTCAGCAAATTGTCAAATAATATTTGACAAACCTATCTTCTGTAAAGTAAAGTATTTTTATGTAAAAGTCTGAAAACTTTGTACGTTGAATTCTTTGCATCTTCTTATTCAAAACTTTGTAAGTAGTACTTCAAATAATTTTAAATGTTTTGTTTATCTTCTAATCATATTTGTTAGTTGCATGTCCTTTGTAACTTGACAAGCCTCACACAAGCAGTGGTTTTCAGGTTTTGTCACATCTGCTGGCCTGAATTAGGTCTTAATTATACCTTTTATTTTTTATGGAGAGGACATAAGTGTTTGGAAATGCAATGAAACTAATTCTGAAGCACACTTTGTGGAAAATGTTGCCACCTCACCTTAATTAAGGAACCCTGCGAAGTACCAATGAAAGCGACGGTGTGGTTCCTCTCCGTGCTGGTAATAATTGATGACATTCGGGCATCCTCCACCTGAAACAACGGCGTAGCGGTTACTCCGTCAGGGTTATTAGCATTCCGGTATAAGTTTTGAGTAACATCACACAGTACTCTTTGCAGTTGCAAATCGGTAAATGTTGACTGCAAGAGAACAAACACCTTCAATCATTATTTTGGCCTATCACAAGTGTTGTTGTGGGTATCAAAGGCGGGGGGGGGGGGGGGGGGGGGGGGGCAATATGTTGGTAGAATGATGAATGGTATACAAATATTGAGTGGCTCAGAGTGAAATGGGAGGAATATTATCGCAAGGTAAAATCTGAACTTTTCCATTTCATGAGGCAAAGCCGAGTGAACTGGAAAAGTCCAGATTTTACCGAGTGATAAGATTCCTCCCATTTCACAATTTAAAGCCACTCAATATTTGTTTTATATAACTGACATAAAGATCCTTGACGTTTGAAATATTGAACTTTCATTTCAATACAAATTGGTGGAAAATGTATTTCTCTCTTCTGAACCACCCCTTCACGAAAATGTTTGAACCCACCTCTGTAGCACTGGCTCTTTGGAACAATGCTATGCGCATTGCTGAACGTGCATACTTGCATGCATTTGTACACAAATACCGCGTCTTGGAACAAGAATTATCCTAATTGCTCAAAAGTGGCGAATGGGACTTTTTGAGCCCAGGCGTGAATGGAAGTAATAACGAATGTCACGTGATGTAAGTTCCACCAATCAAATGACAGGGATCTGTATGTCGGTTATATAATATATTTTAATGAACAAACAAGACAAGCTTAGGCCAAAAAAAAAAAAAATAGTCGGTCTGTGGTCAGACCGAAGTTCCAGTATTGATGCGGCGACGTGGTCTTTTTTTTTTTCGGTGGCTTTTTTTTTTCAAGCTTGTATTGTACAGACAAGGTGGGTACTGTTTTGCTTTTTTGTGTCCTCATTATACATTGGTGTCCTCCATAATTTGCCTTGGTGCCCTTTATCATTTGCCTTGGTGCAATTTCCCCACTTCTTGGTGCTCCTTGGTACAAAAATATGAGGAGACGCGGCAATAGAGGGCGCTGTATTAGCTTCCGTGTTAATTTGAAGAAAAAAAAGAAGGTTGACGCGCATGATTAAAATCGACGTGCGCGCTGACCAGAGACCGAGTATTTTTTTTTTTGGCCTCAGGTAAGCCTGGTAAAGTTGGTCCAAGAGCTCATAGAATTCCAATTAATTGATTCAGAATGGCAATATTCACAGGAAGTCCGTTCAGTCGGTCCTGTTCCGTAGTCATGGTAATTGTGGGGACTTGAAAAAGGTATAAGGAAGTCCCCATAACTTGGTCCTAATTTGCCTAACAATAAAAAACTTCCCCATAACGCGGTGACGGCCAAGGCATGCAGACGTGTGTACACAATTGGATGGATGTTAATGACATTATTTATCAGCACTGCCTGGCTCATATGTGACAGTGAGTGAGTCCTCAGTGAGATACATTAAGTACAATGAGGACTGGGGCTGCATTGCATCCCAACCGACTGCTGATGTCAGGAACCCGTTCCAGATTGTGGAATCGAGTACCCGTAACTGAGCTGACAATAAAAAAGAAAGGTTTTGAAAGTCATTTGTGGAGATTTGAAAATGAAAACCGGGCTACACGGATTCACAATCAACAGATTCACAATTATGATGCTTGTGAAAAAGGAGGTTTACATCGTAAAGCTACATTGAGCTCACTGTACACACTTATTGCTGTATTGATGCATCGATGTGGTAGTACATGTAATATCAAGCAGATCTTTTTGAATAATCTGTACAGCACCTTCCGGGATTAAAATTTTGGGGGGGATAGGTTTCTTAACCCGTGTACCCGTGTTTTAATCAATCGGGTACCCAATTCCTGTAGCTACCCGTAAATGCTCACCCTCAAGAGGATACTAGGCTAGTCCTTCAGACCAGCACAAACTACACAAGTTTACACAGCTAAAGATAACAGACCAGGCCGTTCAACCTAATAAACATGATTGTTCATATCTGCGGATCTAGGTACAAATTCTAGAAACTGAATACAAGAAAGGAACTTACGATTGAGTTGCATTTACTTTCATGAAGATATCCCACTTTATACTCGTCTCCGTCAGTCTGAATGCACTTTCGTATGCCTGTTTCAAATGCCTCTTCAATCTCATCCATTCTGAAAGCACACAGTGCAGAGCTATCACTGGGGGTGTCAGTTGCTCCAACGTTGGTCGCAAAAACTGCAAACAGCATCGGAGATGCCTCCTGGATTCCAAGATATTCCGCCAAGTCAGGTCCTGCTTGTCCGAAGTAAGCAGCTTGGGCAAGGTTATAGGATTGGGATTCTTGACCACAGTGTAGGATGATCTCAGTGTATGATTCAAATGTGTTACTGTTTTGACAAACACGAACCACTTTGGAAACAAATGTCGGAGTAGAGCTGACTGCTTCCTGCTGAGCAGTGACAAAATAGGTGAAGTCGTTGGCAGAAAATCCATACACGTAGTTAATGTCAAAAGCCCTGCTTCGGTAAGCCTCATTAAAATTGATTTGCACGTCTTCTCCTGAAAAAAACAGTCTACCATCAGGAACCTCTAGACCCAAATGTCGTCGTGCAACTGCTGGGACATCTGTGTTACTATCCCTTGTGTAGGTGGATGCTACATAGAGCCAGTCTCTTCTCCCTGGGCCAGGCGCTAACAGACCAACAGTGGTCTTACCTCTGCCAGGTGATACACCCACGACACTATTTACGGTGCCTGCAACAGTCAGTTCATCTCGATTTCTCTGTTGACATCTGCCTTCATTGTCACTCCAACAAGTAATCAGTCTATCTCGGACTGGTTCAACAAAGAGGATCTTGTTTTCGTTAGCGCAGTCATCTGGGTCTTCACAGTCCAGAGCTGTGCTGGCGTTACTCTGCACTACAAAGTTCTCATCCAGTCGGTAGACGGAATTCATCGCTCCGACGTATACATCAGAGGGACCATGGAAAAGGACATGGTTGAGTTTGGTGTTTGGGTCGGGATCTGGGTTTTGGAATGATGCGATCTCATAGGCTGAAAGCTGCCCGGTCCATTGTGCGACTGAAGCCTGGAAGCAGGCCCAGAAAGACACTACAAGAAGCACGGATGTTACCATCCGTTCATCCATAGCTCCACGAAAGACTCGGTTTCAACATTCAATTCAATCAAGCTCTGTCCATCTGCTCCTTGCTTTCCTGAACAAAAGAGAGTTATTAGGACAGTCAGTTATAAATTTCACCATACTTTCACTCATACGGTATGTGGACAAAACAGAGCCCCTAAAACAGGCACAGATGTTTTGAGAGAAGTTAACCTCACCAAGAGAATGGATCTGTTACCATAGTATCTGACTGTTTCTTGAGGAGAGATTACAGACAGGTTTTTTATTAACATTGCAAAAAGTTAAAAGCAAATTAGTGCAGTTTAAGGCATTTGTGCAGGCAGCCGACTGTTAGTTTGTTTTTGAGATTGAGAAGTCAAGGTTGCAATATTTTGTCGATCTAACTGTTTCATAACTTTGTAAGTATGAACAAGCACAGTCAATTTAAAATGAATCCCCAAATAAATATTTAACAATGGTAAGTTTCTAATAAATTAAGCAGCATGTTACATGTATTACAATTTGTTGAGATGGTGATGACTAAAGGTCAAACTACGAGTAGAATGCAGTAGATCCCTTTCTGGCAATCAAGGATGAGAATTGAATTTTGTGACCAAGAAAAAAAGAAGAGAGAAATGTTAAGATAAAGTTCCCGGGTTTGTTTTGTTTGTTTTTATATGACAATATCTACAGATATTTTACAAATTATAAATCAAATTAGAACAATTAAACTGTAAACACAAAATACAATATTGTCAAGGATAACAAACAAAAAGCTACATTTTCCAAAGCATTGTGCAAAAATCAAAGCATGCACCAATATTTTCAATTCTGCCCAGTTAATTTCCACTCAAGATCCAATTGTTGTAGAAAACTGAACATATTCACGCAAGTCCATAATACAACGCGCACTTACCGCTATTGATAAAAATAGGTTCAACTTCGATGGAATTACTCTCCTTTGCACGAGTCTGAGAATCTCAGAATATCCACATGAGAACGTCGATGAAGAAATTTACACACAATAATTCGATTTGAAAAAAAAAAAAACCCAAACGTTCACAATCACAAGTCTGTGTCGATTAAAATTTGCTATTAATGTTCTGCAATTGTATTTGTACCACGACGACCAACAAGAAGCAGTACCACCACAGCATGCCACTACCACTGTACCAGGATACCGGACGCGGAAACCGATACGATGCAAACCGCAATAAACTTACGTGAACAGAAACTCCTACCTTTTTTAGTACAGTCGTTTGACCGGTTCCGCAATCGCAAATCGTCTGAAGCGTCTTGTGGCGAAAAAACGCGCTTTCACAGGAAGCTACCTATCTATAAATATGCGCAAATTACTCACCTACTTCATGATATGAATAGTTTTCTGCGATCGTTTGAAAGAGAAATTTGCCAGGACATTTTGTAGAGGTCGGTGCTTTGACCGGTTCCGCAAATGTTTTCCGGTTTCGCAAACGGCGCCCTCTGCGGGACTGGACTGAAAATATTCCTTGTTTACTGGCCAAATCTAGATCGTTTTTGCCCCCAAACCAGCCAAGAAAAGATGTGGATTATATTTCCCTGTGCATGAGCCAAGGTCTGCACATATAATGCGTCCAAATTTACAAAATGTAACTCCATGAAAAATGTTATGGTTCGTTGGATCTTTTTTTACGTTATAATTATTTGACTTGCTTTTCTTGCTTTTTGTGCATTCTGTCTATCATCTTGCAATCACTAATATTTTTCTTTTTTGTTGTCGTCTTATTTTTATTTAGACACACTCTGACGTTGGATAGAACCAGACACAAACCTTGTACCGAATTGCTCCAGTTGGTTGGTTTTTTTTCTCACATAAGCACAGACCAGCTATTTATGATTTTGAATTAATATTTTCTCCAGGATCATTTTTAATTCCTATGACACTTAAGGAAGTGACTGCATGGCTGGATGAATTGGAACTGAATCATTGTCTGCAGGGGAGCACTGTTTATTAATATTATTTGTTTATTTAATTATTATTATTTATTTACTTTTGTTTATTCCCTCCTCCTTTTTTTCATTTTACTTTTTTTTTTGGGGGGGGGGGGAGTGTTTCAATTTGTTCAGGGTAAAACACAATATGCTTAATTTTGTGTGCACCAACATCCAGTAGGGGGAACCTTGGGGAAGGGAGGGGAGGGGGAACAGGCCTCAGCAGGCCAGATACATACGGGCCACATACATGTAAATATTGTTTCACATTCAAATTAAATTTCACAAACAAATTAAAACAAATTGTTAAAAATGTCATAAATCCTATGGTTGTTTCATAGCAATGGCAATTTCTAATTATAATGTTCAGTTACTCCTCATACGTTGTTGCACTGCTCGCGCGCTGCGCCGAATAACAAAACGAACTACTAATTTAAATTTTCCTACGGTGCTTCTTAAGAATCACCGTTGGAAATGCCTTCTTTCGTTGATTACTTCAAAATGACAGCTTCCCAGAAAGAATAATTTCACAGGGAGTTTAGTTCCCTTACTATCTTTCAACCAAGTTTGTTTTTCAACAGTAATTACGCCAGTTACTTTTCGGATGGCTGCAAATGATGGACTATAGCTTTAACTATACATGTACATGTATCATGCTTGGGCAACTGTATTAGCAAACCTCATCTACTGTTCGGTGATGCTCTATGTCAACACATTCATCACGTATATCCCGATAACCCTTTCAATATATTGACATGTGATACCTGCATGTGTAAATGTAATACAAAACTAAAGCACTCAAGAAGCTACCCCTTTTAAATCCAAAAATATACCTGTCATATAAATAAATGGTGATGAATCACAGAAATAGACATGTTCTGTGGGTTTTTCATGCAAAGTAGCATAGTTTTTCAAACACCTCACTTCTCTTTCACATGTACTGGTTAATAAAAATGTATGTAACGCCTTTAAATTTATTGCCTTTATGACACCTGCATGTCTGTTTAATTGTTATACACAAATAATTTAAGCACTCCAGAAGCTAGCACTATACAAAAAAAGAACTTGTCACATAAATAAATTAATTCAAAGAAATGGTGATGAAGACACACAGCTACATGTACTTTCACTATAATATTCAACTTCTTCTTGACCTTCACAGGTAAAACTGAAAAAGATGTGCTGATGGCCTCTTATGGCCTATCAGGAGGCTGGCGTAATCTTCTTCTTTGTCTTTGGCATTGTCTGTATGAAAAAGAAATTTTATATAAATCGTTTAGTTTATGACCAATTGAGACAAAAATGAGAAATGGTTTATAGTATTTGACAAATTTTGTGCTCCAAGAAAACAATCAAAATTTGTGTCTCTGTACTGACGAGAGACTGGTCTTCATTATGAAATATTAGTGGACCTATTTTTCTTTTTGTTTAAAAGGGTAAAGAGTAAGGTTAGAACCCACCGAAAAAAGGATAATTTTAAATTTACTAAATTACTGGAAATGTCCTTTGGGTTAGAAACACACCTACGTTTTATTTTCCATATTATTATGCACTATTCTTAATTGTTCCCCACAAACCTCACCTCCTAGCCTGGGCTGACTCATGCACCCTGGATGTGGAGAGTTGTAACTCTAAAATGAATCCAAACCCCTGAGGCACAACCGCCTCAACATCAAGTATTTTTAGAGCAAAGGAAAAACGTTTAGTGGGAAGTATTAAGAAAGATTTTTGTATTTTAAATTTTGAAGTCCAAATTTTTTTTATCCAAAACCTACAGTGCTGTCCGGAAGCTGGACAGAAACAAAATCATTTTGTTTCAATTTAGTTTTCAATTTTTTGCACTGAACACCCAGAAATGATCATCAAATTCGACATTTTTAAACAAGGATTAATAGAAATTCTCAATTTCTTTGTAAGTTGTAAAAAAAAAAAGATTCATGCCAAAATAAATAAAGTGCACCGCGCTAGGGGGCCGTCATCAACAATACTTGTCAATAGCAGCACTGGTTAATACAGTCACACCATGGCCAGTGTATTGTATAGGCAGTATGAATGCGTTTGCGGAACCGGCCAAACGACCAGCAGTTACTCTGGTGGGTATAGAAAAAAAAATTCAAAGACTTCAAATCTTATATTTGTATGGTGGAATAATGAATAATTTCCAAACAAGTTGCATCTATCGCCATGATTTAATTCCCCTGAACAATCGTGTAGCAGGCCGACAAACATGAAATCACGCTTCCGTGCGCGTTCCATTTCGGCAGTTCGTTAACGGCAAGTGACGGTCGTAGGGGATTTATTTTTAAATGTAAGTGAGTATCCTAAAACTAAAACCATTTTTGAAAAGTAGATTGAATAACCTTTCCATCGGTACCAAAGTTTAAGTCCTTGGCGTTTTCGTCTTCCTGAAAACGAGAGCTAGTTTTCCGAAATTGCGGAACCGGTCAAATTGCGGAACCGGTCAATTGACTGTACCACGGAGGAAGGAATAAGCATGGAGCTAGCCTTTTTCAAGAAGATCGATCATATCAAAACACGAGACGAAGCTGAATATATCGTTTGACCGACCCTGAACTTGAAGCAGAAGTGAGCAAAAACACGTGGAATATACGAACGTCTTGTGGATCAGAGGGCCGGCCAAGGAGCTCATCCAGATCCTCGCGTAATTCAATGAACTTCCGCGTTCGGTCGATACCATTCTGCCGAAGGTGTTCTAATGTCAACTTTCTTTTCTGAGCGTCGGGCGTTGACTTGTACACAATAGGATTTCTTGAGATAGGGGAATCCCCTTATAAAATCACCCCTCTTGTCTTATATGGCCCCAAATACACAGTACGTAAATAGGCCCCGTATCGTAGGCGGCACTTCCGATTCCCCCCTAGATAGCGTCTTGTCAAGGATTTTCCCCAAATTAATTTTCAGTGACTCTCTGAAGAGTTTCAATCGTCTCAGCTCACAAATCTTGAATTCCTGAGTTTCAGTTTCGCTGGCGTAAAATTTTATTTCTACAAAATTTCCCGATTTTGGGAGTAATTTGATACGGCAGTAAACTTGAAAAAACATGTTCAAAAAAGAAAGTTACAATTACTAAATTTTTGTGTGTTCAGATATTGGTTAATCATTTTGACAAACAAATTAACCATTTTTATCTTATCTAATCTTCTGATTTAGTTCTTGGAAACGGAAGTGGCCTACTTTTACAATTTTATGAAAATAATGTCATGACGATAAAGTAATACACAGCACTGTCGGTCCAGAAAGGACAAAAAGGTCCCTGTTTATGAGTGTGTAAGTTCAAGAATGGGCCTTTAGCAAGTCTTAATGTTGACCCTTTTGAATATCGCGGCTGCAATTCTGGAAAAGCTAGATGTAGGCCTCCTTCCTCCATGGTGTAGGCAAGTCAAAAATGACTACCGCGTCGGATGTGAATAAAAAAGGGGTTAAACTTTTTTTTCTAAAAATATCAGTTAATTTTGTGGATTTCCTGTGACCCAATAAATATGACAAATTTTAAATTTTGGTGGCGCGCGTCCGGATGAAGTTACGTTTAAGTCACTGGTGGCGCTATACGCTATACCGTGCAGAAATGCAGAAATGACACCCCGCATATGGCCTTCATTACATTTGCAGAGAGCAGTAAATAATTGCCCTAGAGTCCCTATAGTGATGACTACCCCCACTTTCAAAAATCAGAGCAAGTACTCACAATCCTCCACTGTGTTAGAGACACACATCAAATTATAGCGTGACTCATCATCTTATATTTTCTGTTAATTTTTTGTAGGTAATCCGATGACTTTGGGGAGAAAATTTCCATCCAGACTGATGATCACCCGAGTAGTTTTCAGCCCATCGCCATTTTGTAAAATGATGCCTGCAAATACGGGCACATTTTCATCCAAATTTCACAGAAATATATGCTCACAATACTATTACGGCTTCCTTCCTTCTTTTTTTCCTGTTCTTTTTTGCTTCTTTTACACACCCCCGCTTCCGCCGCCGCTGACAAGGCACGCAAATCGTGGTATTTGACCGGCGTAGGCAACTTGCTTTCCTGCAACTTTCAGCTCTGGGAATTTGAACAAGGTGGGGGACTCGACTCTAGGGGCGTTGTTCAAAAACTATGTAAACGACCGTGCAGATCTTGGTAAATTGGGTTAGCATAGGGCTACTTCATTCCTCTGCTTCGTATTGGAATATCAATTTTCGTAATAGACTTAATAATGGAAGCGGGCAAGGTTTAAGAG